GCTTTACGGAGCATTAGATGGAGCAACTGAAGGTCCAAAAGTATGTCTCAGATCCTGTTTCAGGTGGATGGATTTTTTCCCCATTTCTGAAGTCCATGGCTTTTAGATACTTTTCATACTGTAGATAGTTTATTGGGTCTTTAATGTATTTTTTATGTCACACACCTGTCCAGTTTCCTCAAACCTACTGCACACCATGCCGAGATATGTCTAGTTTTCAACTAATAACTCTTTCTAAACTGTGCAAAAATACTATTTCATGCCTGCAAACTTTTCTATCTCTGGCATTTTGTTGTTGTTGGTAGATTCAGCTAAATAAATGGGAAATAATGACGTACCTTTGCCACAGGATGCTAGTAACAAAGTGCCTAAATATACAATTTAAAACTGGTTCTTCACCAAGTAGTGTGTGATGTGCAAACACAACACTGTTTCATCCGTTAATTTGGGTGGAGTTTTTATGCTGGAATGACTCATAGGCCAGTGTTGAGCAGTTTAACCATGAAATTAAAAAAAACAAAAAAGAAAAACAGCTACAAGGACTTTACTAAAAATGAGCGAAAAAGCAGCCAATGACCAAAGAAACTGAAAAACTATTGCTCAAGACCACTTTTAAAAAGTGACAAGAAATTCTGGCTCCATGGAAACAAAATATAAAGAAACCTCGAGGTGGCTTAACACTTTTGCACAGCATTGTGACCTTCTGTTACCTGAAACAGCTGCGGTGGTAAACTTTTCCATCTATTAAATGCCTCTGTATTAGGTGCACGGGCTTCAAACACAAACTGCACACAGTCTGCGGCCTCGCATCAGAAACATTTTTGCTGTCAGTCAAGCTCTGAAAACAGAAGAGAAACCAGTCGCTCAAGTGACAACCACAGAGATGACTAAATCAGAACCAAAATAGCCTGTGAACATTCACCTTCATGCTCTTTGGATGATGGTAAGTTTTGCTCTTCGAGAGGCTGTGTGAGGAAGTGCCGTGCGATGACCACAATTTGGCAGGACCTGCTGTAAAGTCAAGATAAGACACGCAAATCACCGTGCATGCACTGTTTCTTTGAGGACGGGCCAGTCTGATTTCATTCACCTGACCTGAAGAGTGAGGGATAACACTGCATCCAAAATATTAATTCAACTGTATATGTTTGAGCAGGACAGCAAACCTCAGTCTGAAAATTTATGCTAGCATCTATAAAAACAACAACATAAAATTAAGGGCTACAACAGGCAGATTATCTTAAACGCACCCGAAGACTTCCCATTGAAGAAGCAGTAGTACTGAGCAAGGTAGGAGATGACGCTTAAACGATCGGGCGCCTTGGTGGAAATCATATCCTTCGGATGCAGGAAGGCAGGGATACCCAGCTTTGTTTCTGCTATCTCAAACGCCTGCAGGCCCACAGGCGAGAAACAGGGAATGAAAGTGAATAAACCGAAACAAAGATGCGGGATGCTTTCGTTCTTGTTTCCAATCAGAAACTCACCAGCTTGTTATTTTCATAAGCATTATCTTTGGAGAGGGACCTGAAGTCTCTGGAGTAAAGTGAAGAAATTGGAGAGATTCAATTAAAAACAAAACAAACAAACAAACAAAAAAAACCCCAAAAACAATAAATGAGCGACAAAGTTGATGATTAACTACATAATGAACTTTTCTAAATACAATAGAAGCAAAAAGCATTAAAAGATCAGAGATGAGATGATTCCAGAGGAGTGGTTCAGTGTCAAATAAACCAAATTAACCGATTTCAGGCCAATGAGACTGGACAAAAAAAGGGTTAAAAAGAGATGCAGATTAACCAAAGTGCACACGAGCCCCTCTGTTTCTGATTAAACAGAAACAGATAGGGGTAAACTGGAGTTAGAAAGTCAGAAGCAAGGCACACTTCACTCCGCACAGCCATGACAGCTCTGTTAACATATGGCATTACTCACATGAGGTCAGGGCGGTGTTTGTGGATGATAGCACAGAACGCAAGTCCATCTGTGAATGAGGTTGACATGTTAGTTATTTCCACGTCGGGATAAGTGGCGCATGTGACGCGGCACCACTCCAGCAAAACTCTCGGTGATGCCATTTCTCGTGCAACTTTTCACAAGTGGGCAGGGAGCAAGCAGAACATGGCACCGTGTCAGAGTCGGAGAGATCAGATACAAGTGGTGCAGGTCTGGCTTTTTTTTTTCGGAGGAAACAGGAAGCAAAGCATCTACCTTTGCAACTATTTCTCTGCGGCCAGACTTGCACGTCGTGGTGGCGAAGCAGCAAGAGCAGGAAGGAAGGAAGTTTATGTTTTCCCCCCCCTTTCGTGTTGTTTTTGTCAAATATAAACAAAGGCAAGTAAAGCGACCGCGCATTGCTCCAGCGTTTCAAACCACGACCACAAGTCTCCTACTCGTTTCAGCTCGATGCTATTTCCTCCACCGCAAAGATGCACCGAGCCCCTGAAGTGAAGCGAACTGTTAGAGAAACACTGCCAGACCTCTGGTCTGTTACACGGGGCTGATATTTTAAACTTAGTCCAGTTATTAGCTCTGCAGTTGTGCTCCACAATCTATGAAATGCCTAATAGCTGCCACTGGAGGGAGACACAGAGCTGTTCTTGCCGCCACTCTATAATTAGGAAGAAAAGGTTTGTAATTATAAGTTTATTGTCCGGGTGCAAACTTGACAGAACGATTCAAAAATGGCCGTGCCTTTTTTTGCTTATTCCAATCCACTTTTACTACTTTCCCCGCCCCAATTTTTTTTATGGAAGAGAAGCTTTCCTTAGTCTCGGACCACAAATAGATACTCAGTCACATGAGTTGGTATTGTTGAAAAAAAGAAAGTAAGAGGAAAAGTGTGTAAACCTAACGTAAATAAATAAATAAACATCTAAGTGAAAGGTTAGGCTTATTTTTTTTAATGCTTTGGTTTGAGGGAACGCAACTTCCGGTATGTTCTTCACACGAGCTCTTTGTCCTATGAAAATTACTTTACTAGAAAGGTTCGTATTCAAATTATAAAAAATATTTTAAAATACTTTGATACAATCTATTATGCAAATAGACTTTGTAATTTCATTCAGAAATAAAGTGAAAATTTTAATTTATTGTGTTTGAACGGACGTTTTGATGTGAAATAGAGCAATATTTTAATATATGAATTATTTGATAAACAGTGGGGCAAAAAAGTATTTAGTCAGCCACCGATTGTGCAAGTTCCCCCACTTAAAATGATGACAGAGGTCAGTAATTTGCACCAGAGGTACACTTCAACTGTGAGAGACAGAATGTGAAAAAAAAAATCCATGAATCCACATGGTAGGATTTGTAAATTATTTATTCGTAAATCAGGGTGGAAAATAAGTATTTGGTCACCTCAAACATGGAAAATCTCTGGCTCTCACAGACCTGTAACGTCTTCTGTATGAAGCTTTTCTGTCCCCCACTCGTTACCTGTATGAATGGCACCTGTTTGAACCCATCATCTGTATAAAAGACACCTGTCCACAGCCTCAAACCGTCAGACTCCAAACGCCGCCATGGCCAAGACCAAAGAGCTTTCGAAGGACACCAGGAAAAGTATTGTAGACCTGCACCAGACTGGGAAGAGTGAATCTACAATAGGCAAGCAGCTTGGTGTGAAAAAATCAACTGTGGGAGCAATCATCAGAAAATGGAAGACATACAAGACCACTGATAATCTCCCTCGATCTGGGGCTCCACGCAAGATCTCATCCCGTGGGGTCAAAATGATCATGAGAACGGTGAGCAAAGATCCCAGAACCACACGGGGGGACCTGGTGAATGACCTGCAGAGAGCTGGGACCAAAGTAACAAAGGTCACCATCAGTAACACACTACAACGGCAGGGAATCAAATCCCGCAGTGCCAGACGTGTTCCGCTGCTGAAGCCAGTGCATGTCCAGGCCCGTCTGAAGTTTGCCAGAGAGCACATGGATGATACAGCAGAGGATTGGGAGAATGTCATGTGGTCAGATGAAACCAAAGTAGAACTTTTTGGTATAAACTCAACTCGTCGTGTTTGGAGGAAGAAGAATACTGAGTTGCATCCCAAGAACACCATACCTACTGTGAAGCATGGGGGTGGAAACATCATGCTATGGGGCTGTTTTTCTGCCAAGGGGACAGGACGACTGATCCGTGTTAAGGACAGAATGAATGGGGCCATGTATCGTGAGATTTTGAGCCAAAACCTCCTTCCATCAGTGAGAACTTTGAAGATGAAACGAGGCTGGGTCTTCCAACATGACAATGATCCAAAACACACCGCCCGGGCAACAAAGGAGTGGCTCCGTAAGAAGCATTTGAAAGTCCTGGAGTGGCCTAGCCAGTCTCCAGACCTCAACCCCATAGAAAATCTGTGGCGGGAGTTGAAAGTCCGTGTTGCTCGGCGACAGCCCCAAAACATCACTGCTCTCGAGAAGATCTGCATGGAGGAATGGGCCAAAATACCAGCTACTGTGTGTGCAAACCTGGTAAAGACCTATAGTAAACGTTTGACCTCTGTTATTGCCAACAAAGGTTATGTTACAAAGTATTGAGTTGTATTTTTGTTATTGACCAAATACTTATTTTCCACCCTGATTTACGAATAAATTCTTTACAAATCCTACCATGTGGATTCATGGATTCTGATTTATTTATTTTTTTTTTTTTCACATTCTGTCTCTCACAGTTGAAGTGTACCTCTGGTGCAAATTACTGACCTCAGTCATCATTTTAGGTGGGGGAACTTGCACAATCGGTAGCTGACTAAATACTTTTTTGCCCCACTGTAGTCAGAATTATGTATTGCATACCACATACCAAATATTATTAATTTTACTATATATATATATATACAGATGAGATAGATCCTTTACTTGATGTATTACAAATATCGTAGTGCTTTCTATGTCATTCAACTCTGTTTTCTACGTGTCCATCCACTTCTCGCGAGATCGAGGCACCACATAAATCTCGCAGTTATGGCTGCGCCTCCCGATGCAGAGAGTTTGGAGTCACGTATCAGTGAGTGTTTTAAACTTATTCTCCTGCGCCCGTGTTGTCCGGGGACCCCGACACTGAGAAGTTACTATCCGTGAGTTGTTGTAGATGACATGAAAACTCACCGTAGCTGCGTTTGTCCCGTTAGAGGGGACTCGGACCCCGCCGTAACACCCAGGATGCTAACCTAGCTGCGGAGCTCTACCTTCCAGCTGTCAACACAGCACAGACATGCTGGCTTTGGATTTACGACTCTATAGCTAAACCGGGATGCTGGGGGCAAGATCGTGGGACCCAGAATTTGCATTCACATAGGATAGACTGTGATTAAAGCAAACCTGTGACTTCGTGGAAAAGCTCGAGAAGACACTGACACGACTGTGACTGTCGACAGCAAGCTAGCTAACCTTACACTCAGTTAGCACCTGTCCCATGTAGTCTGCTTGATGACATGCTGGGATACACTTCTAGCCTGCTTAGTCCAAGTTTTGTACATTATATTTCGACAAGACAACCTTTATGTTTAGTGAAAGACCTCATGCACTCCGTGGCCAGTATGTTAAATATTTGTAGTTCTTTTATGAACATAGCATAAACGTCCAAAAATGATTAATAAAGGTTGTAATGTTTACTTAAACTGCCACAAAGAAGAGTTTTAGAGGCATTTTGGCGGCTATATATAGGCTGTGTCGCTGTGCTTATATTTCATTAGTTTTATATGGGTGTAATTAACTGAAGGAAGATACTAGGACATTATAACAACTCGCAGTAACAAAATCCGAAAACATAAGCATTTAAGCATAAAAAATAATAAGATTTGGAAAGGTTGGTAACATTTATACATTTTTATGTGATATCCCATTTCAGACAGAGCCACAAATCCACTAAACAGAGACACAGACTGGAGTAGCATCCATGCCTTCTGTGACCAGCTCAACAATGAGTTGGAGGGGTAAGAGCTGGCCCCAGGGCCAAGACATTATTTACACATCATTACATAATTATAGTCTTACTGAGCCTTGTGATCATGTCTTCAGAGATATGTTCATCTTTTCTACAAAAGGACAGTTTTTCTTCTACAACATTGGTAACTGTAGCTATATCAACACATATATTATGCCAATTTCTAGTTGTTTTTGAAAATGGCAAGGGTAATAGAAATTGAGCACAGATTTTTTTGTTGTTGTTGTTGTTGTTTTTGTTTGTTTAGGAAAGAGCTTTTGTCAGCAGTCATTTTAGAATTTTGAATAATTTTATGCATCATTTATTTTAAATAAACCACCCCCAAAAATGTGACATGTTCATAGACCGCAGCTGGCCACCAGGCTCCTGGCCCACAAGATCCAGTCTCCACAAGAGTGGGAGGCCATGCAGGCATTACTTGTAAGTTCAGATCAGAATCAGGATCTGTTCAGTTATTTTCAGATGCTTTAGTTTCAGCTTTTGCCATTTTTAGATTTTTTTTTTCCTACCCTTCAATTTCAAGGTCCTGGAGACTTGTATGAAAAACTGCGGGAAAAGGTTTCACAGTGAAGTGGGCAAATTCCGTTTTCTCAATGAACTCATCAAAGTTGTTTCTCCCAAGGTAGGACTTTAGGTCTCTTTGTGTCTGTGCCTCTTTGATACAGGTCTTTTTTTCCCTTCTCTCTTGTTGTTGAGCTTTTTGTGCAAATGACCTGGGTTTCATCTCCAATTTAGTACCTTGGAACACGGTCCCCTGAGCCAGTTAAAATAAAAGTTTTGGAGTTGATCTATAGCTGGACTTTGGCGTTACCAGATGAAGCCAAGATTTCAGACGCTTATCAAATGCTGAAAAAACAAGGTAAGAGTCGATCTGTCATTTGATGAATCCTGTCAAAACCCATTTTTAAAGAGTAATTATGCTGAACTTGAAGATGAAGATGCTGTAATAGAGTTGAACATTTGGAGCTGAAAATTAAAGTAATAGGCCCACGTGGATAAAATGCCTTACGTTGTAAATCAACTAATGAAAATGATTAGACACATTTAAATAACTCAACACCTTCATGTTCTCTGCTTGTTAATCAGGTATTGTTAAACAAGATCCTGAGCTGCCACCTGACAAGCTACTCAACCTTCCTCCACCCAGACCCAAGAATGCTATTTTTGAAGATGAAGAGAAATCCAAAGTAAGGACTTTCGTACTAAAATATATGAACGAGTTATGTAGATGTGATGAACTAGCATCTGATGTTCTTCCTCATGTGAACTCTGACTTTCTACTTTGTCAGATGTTGTCTCGCCTATTGAACAGCTCGCACCCCGAAGACCTCAAAGCCGCCAACAAACTCATTAAGGAAATGGTCCAAGAGGTAAACACTCTTTCCTTTTCCTTCCTATTTTCTTCACCACATTCATTCGGTGCAGCGATGTGTGATTTTTAGGAACAGGAGTAAAATGGTGCACTCAGAGCGGAGCAATAACTGAAAGAGGAAATTGGGAAATTGCCCTGTGGGTGTTTCCGTCTTTTGTACTCATTTCATGTCTAACAGGAATTAGTCTTTGCTCTCATCCATGAACCTGAACTGATTTCTCCCTGACCTTGCTGCGCTCTTGCTTTACTGCCTCTGGCTGTGTTTGTTGTGTTACAGGTCACCACAGTTTGGACTGTTCATGACTGTTTCCTACATGTGCACTTGCTTTTGGCCAAAACCCGGTATGTGTGCAGTTTGTGAGTTTGTGTCTCGTTGGTTTTAGGATCAGAGGCGTGCAGAGAAGGTGTCAAAGCGGGTGAATGCCATTCAGGAGGTAAAGGAGAGCGTCACTTTACTGACCCAGCTTCTGCAGGACTACGACAGCACGGCTACGGATCAGAGCAATGCTGAACTCATTCAGGTGAGAAAAAGACAGATGCTTTAAATCAAAAGATCACACTGTAAATCAACCTGAAGCCATCTCCATTTAAAGTATTTTTTAACGTGGCGTGTGTGCTGTGTGGTCAGGACCTGTATCAGCGCTGTGAGAAAATGAGGCCAACACTGTTCAGACTGGCAAGTGACACGGAGGACAACGACGAGGCTCTGGGTGAGCTTAGTTATTATTCATCTGCCACTGAATAGGAGCTCTCTCCTTTTTTTCCACTATCATATCACTCAAGTGATGGATGGAATGAAAAGTGAGGGAATGGTGATGGAATGAGGAAGTAAGGGAAATTTTTCAAAGGAAGCTACCAAAGAAAAAGTGAGGAAAGTAGACACAGGGACAAATGTTTGTAGTGAGTTGTATAAGAGGCTGGACACTGTGGAATGAGAAAAAAGGTTTGTACCGACTGACTGGACGGAGCGATCGACCTGGAAAGGGTGTGAGTCAGGTTAGGGGAAATGTCCTAACAAGTGAAGAGTGTGTTGAGAAGATGGAAGGAGTACTTTGAGGAGCTGATGAATGTAGAAAATGGGAGACAGAGAGGAGGAAGTGAGGGCAACTATGAAGAGTTGGTCCAGATGACATAATTGTGGAGGTGTAGAGATGTCTAGGAAAGAGAGAAGTGGAGTTTTTGACCACACAACCCTGGACAGTGAGGTCGGATCTCAGAGGAATGGAGAAGTGTTCTTGCTTTTTCAAGAACAAGGGTGACCTATAGATGGTCTAAAAAAATCTCTCTCATAGTATTTCTTTTTTTTAAAGAAATAAAGTGATGGTTTCTATTAGCGCATGAATTTATTTTTCTTTTTTGGTTCAACAGTTTATGAGCAGTCTTTCTAACAGAGACAGGCGATTCTGATTAAATCCAGTGATAAGGATGAGCACTTTGTCATCTTTCCTCAGCGGAGATCCTGCAGGCCAACGACAGCCTGACTCAAGTCATCAACCTGTACAAGCAGCAGGTGAAAGGGGAGATTGTAAATGGAAACAACACATTAAACACACAGAAACAAACCGGTGGGTGAAGCTTTGAACACTAAAGAAGCCAAAAAGATTTTACTGTGTTACAATGAGCTGTCTAAAAGAATCTTTTAGTGAAGGATCAACAGTACTGATGGATTTCTCACAGGAGGAGGCACAGCGCTGCTAGATCTGTCAGGATTGGACACGTCACCACAGTCGCCGCCTTCCTTCCCAGAGTTTCCCACTCCCACAGACAGCCTAAACCCTCCCTCACATGGGGACATGGGGATTAGTCTCCTTGATGACGAACTCATGTCGCTTGGTAATAAAACACGTCAGACAGGCGTATGTAGCATACAACTTAAATCTCAGAGTCCTGAATGGAAACTGAGGGAAAGAAAACTTTTGTTCCTAAATACTACAACACTTTGCACCTCACACAGGTTTAAGTGAAGGAACACACACCTCTAACCCCGCCTCACAGCCTGAGGACTCCACCGCATGGGACTCGTTCCAGGTGAGCGGTGGAGAAAATCTATTATTGCATCTGTGAAGCTCTCATATTTTTTTCCTGTACTCATTTTTTCTATTTATTTATTTTTTTAAACTTTCAGTCCTCTGACAGCATAGATACAGATATCGCAACTGCGCCCAGTCTCCTTTTGAGTCCAGATCCGCCTCCCCACTCTCAGCCTCTTTCATCTGGCTCCACTCCTGGGAACTCTGCCTTGGATGAACTGGACCTGCTGGGAAAAACCCTGCTGCAGCAGTCTCTACCTCCAGAGGGCCTGCAGGTCAAATGGTACCTAACAGGATTTGAGCACGATCACATTTTTGCTGAATTCATAGGAAAAGGCTTCTAGATGGCCATAATACTTTTGTAGTTTTGTAGTTTGGACAGCATCAACATTGAGTCAGGAGTTGGTTAAACTACCGTTTCTGGAAAAAGCAGATCAAAATCATTTAAGAGCTCAGAGCAAAAGTTGACGCAGAGTTGCTCATTCTTCTTCTCTAAGGGACAAGCAGCAGTCTAAACCGACTCTGAGAGACCTCCAGAACAAGACCGGGACAAACATCGCTCCAAATCCAATTCCAGCTTTTACCGCTGAACCTCCTGCACCACCTGTTCCCAACTCCCAGCCCAGCCTTAAAGCCACACTGCTGGATGTGTCTCCCTCTCACACTGAGGCTTCTTCTGCAGACGTTTCTCTGACTGACGTTTTTGTACCCTTAGAATCCATTAAGCCCAGTAAGTAAACGAGATCACTTATTGGTTTTATACCAAGGAAGCTTGTTTGGTTTTGAGTGTTTTGGGTATATGATGAACTAATTTCCTTTCTGTCCTGTCTTTCTGCAGGTAGTCTGTTACCTGTAACTGTGTTTGACAGCCACAGTCTGCGGGTTCTCTTTCACTTCGCTCGCGACTCTCCTCCGTCTCGACCCGATGTTCTGGTGGTGATTATCTCCATGCTTTCGTCAGCCCCTGTGCCTGTCACCAACATAAACTTCCAGACTACTGCTCCAAAGGTCAGCACTGATATAGTCCAAGGCCTTTGTCCCCTCTGTCAGATGGAGTAAATCAGATCCACAGCTGCTGATTTAGTGTCTCAGTTAAAAAAAAAAAAAGAGAGAGAAACAAAACAAAACCCTAATGTTGTTTTTATTTATCAACTGCAGACGATGGCCGTGAAGCTGCAGCCCCCGTCAGGGACGGAGCTCCCCGCTTTTAACCCCATCCTCCCTCCTGCTGCTGTCACACAGATCTTGCTGCTAGCAAATCCAAACAAGGTAGGTCTGGATATTTCACAGAATAGATAGAAATGTCCTTGTGATGTCTGGCTGAGCAAAGGCCAGAAAAAAAGAGCCTTTAAACTGTTCAGCAATAGATAAGTGCAGCATATTTTCAGTGCTGATTATCTTGGCCAAGGTTGGAAAAAAGAATTACAGATCTAGAAAAATGAAGCCCCAACTTAATTTAATGAGAAAGCAGAATTAAACACGAGCTTGAAAGCAACTCTGCACTGGGCTGTACCCCATTTAATTATTTCTTTGGACTGTTCTTTTTGTACAGCATTCCACTTTTTAGCCTTTTAAAAACAAGAAGTTAAAAGAAATCCCTATCCCAAAATTATTTTGACATTCATGCCCATGATTAATGAATTTTAACAAAAACTACAGATGTGACAGAAAATAAGGAAAAGCATAATGGGTCCATTTGAATCCCGTCATCTGATGGGAAGGTCAAGGAGCCTGTCATTCCTCTTGTCCCAGAGCATTAATCCAAGCTGTCATACTTAGCCTCTCTCTGCATGTGTTTGTGTCTCAGGAGAAAGTGAAGCTGCAGTACAGATTAACCTTCACCATGGGAGAGCAGGAGCACAGCGAGAGCGGCAGTCTAGAACAGTTTCCGCCTCCGGAGAAATGGGGGAACCTATAGCATTTAAACACAACCACAACCTGACAGACTTTCTGCTCTCAGACTCGCCCCCACCCCCTAAACTGACTCCTGGGCTGGAGGCCTGCTGAAACCTTTTTCCTTTGCAGTCATGTTGTACTTTCTTTGACTGGTATTGATTGTGTTCCTCTGATTACACTCATGCGCAGTCAGTGTAATGTGTGTACGCTTTGCTATAACAAGTCACGTGTCTAGGTCTAGTCTGCTGTATGTGGTTGCTTAAACAAACCTGCAACAGCTGCTTCATAGTTGTTGCAGTTGTTTTTTTTTCTTTCTTTGTTTTTTTTAAACACAGTGCTACAAAGGAAGTAAACTACAACAACTGTGTGCATATTAGGTTATTTGGTGTACTTTATTTTTCACCTCAGGCAGTCGAAATCCATTATCAGCTGTTTACCTTCACATCAGCATGCTGCGGTCGGTGAAAAATGGGACACGTGCTTGCAAAACCCAACGTCAACACAAAGCGACTCTTAAGTTTGCAAAACGAGGCTGAACTGAATCAACTTGTTGTGGTGTCTGTTTACGTTGATTGCTTTTCTTTCACATTGACTGAGTGCACTTTGTGATCACAGAGAATGATTGTTTTAACACTTTTGTTTTTCTAGCTGACCCCTCGAATCTTGTGTAATGAACAAAATTTACTGTTAACATCAAAGCTGTGTATTTTCTGCCATATGTGCCTATTTTGCAGTTCTAATATTATTTAAAGTTCAGTTTTCTTTTTCTCATCTGTTACATGTTTGTCATCTGAGGCGTGCAGATTCAGATACGTATTAATATAGTCATCTTTAATACGCTATGAGTTCAATTTTGAGATTAGTTTGACATTTGAGTTGTTGTGTAAGCATTTATTCGGAAAAATGGAAAACTTGAGCATATGCAAACTGAGCTGCACTCCGGTGCTCTGAGCGCGGTGTCCGTCTCAGACGTGTTCAGATCGTTTCTACAATCTGCGATGCATGACAGCCATGCTGAACACTTCCTCCCACAGGATCCCGATCACATTCCACTGCACTAATTTCCAGTAAGACTGCTTTGTTAAATGCCAGATATAGCAGTTCTGTTATGTACATTTGAAATGTGTGAGAGCATAACACTGGTAAAATGGGGAAATAAAATTTATTCTTGGTGATCAAAAGAAGTGTTCAAGTGTTTACAGAAACACACAAACATGTCCTGTACACCAAAGAACTTTATTAAACATGAAAAACAAATTTAAAAAGGGGACTTACTGTTTGCTAGGAAATCTCATTCATCACTGCTGCAAAGACCAGACCACACTGGTGATCCTCTAAACAGGTAAGCCTCAGGAGATTTGTTAGTAAATACAAACTTAGAAATCACTAGTTGGTAAGGCCTCAATTTGCACCTACATAACGAGATCGAGGTAAAGCTCAAAGAAAAACACTCCAATGTGGTAAAGGTTTTTAACCCACTTTTTTTTTTTTAAATCACATCAGGATCTGTTTTTAATATTTCAGAAGGATTTTTTTTGGCTTCCAACAATGATCTGAAACAGAAAAAACAAAATTAACTTCAACACCTACCTTTGCCATACCTACACAGAAAATAACACTATCAACCTCTTGGAAGTAGCTCACAAAGAGATTCACAATACAAAACAGCAGCTTTGCTTTTTTCCATCCAATACAGCTGCAACAAACTAAGCTAAACGAACACAGAATTGCTTTAAACCAACTTTAAGCTGAAAAAAAAAGTTTTCCACGCAAACACCTGAAGCCAGTCGAAAACTAATGTTGAAGAAATGAAGATCTCTCAGTCAACTAAAACATGCTTTTAACTGGAATGTTGGAAGAGCGATAAAATGAAAAATTCAACACAAATCTGCCCGGGTGTAGTTTGTGTTGTGCTGTGTAACACTGATGCACATACGACATCATTTCCTCCCAGACAGAGATGCCGGAGGAGGCGCAAACTGGAATGGCGAGTGCCCCATCAAACCCATCATAGGCTGCGGAGGGTTGAACTGCTGAGCCATTAGAGGCTGAGGGCCTGATGAAGGAGGTGGGGCATTCCCCGCAGCGGTGCCTGCTGAGCTGGAGCCACCTCTGGAGCTGCTGTTATTCTGGTACTGGTCATAGGAGCCGGAGCTATAACTACGTCCTCCATCCCTGCTGCTGCGATCTCTGTAAGAAGAAGATTGATCCCCATCCCGGTTGTTTCCGCCGCGGCTGTAGCTGCTGCCACGGCCATCCTTTGAGCTGCTGCCCCCACCAGCAGAACGCATCCGACGATCACACTCATCCTGGTACATCATGTTGGGATTGTTTGAATTGGAGTTGCGGAAACGGGAACGGCCACCTGGGAATTAAAAGTTGTAATGAAACTGCTAGCTCATTCATTTACCCAAGCATTTGTTTATGTGATCAATCACTTGCACCCTTAAATACAGTCAATCTATCCTTCACATACTACCAAAGCTCATCCCCATTTAGGCAAATCAATAAAGACTCTTCTGTGGTGCAGAGAGCTCAGCAGTTAAACGGTTTAAGCAACACATGATGCTTAAACCGTTCCTCACCTCCTCCGCTGCGTCCACTGTCGGCCAGCTGCAGCAGTTTGGGATTGATCGCCTGCCGGGCTTCCTCCAGGACCCGGATCAGCTCTCGGGCCTGCCGGAGGTTCCCCGGAGTGAAAAAGGTGTAAGCGGTGCCTTTGTTAGTGCTGCGAGCTGTACGCCCGATGCGGTGGATATAATCCTCGGATGAGTTAGGGTAGTCATAGTTGATGACAAACTTGACATCCTCCACATCTTTGGCAGCAGGGCAGAAGAGGTCAGTAACAGGGAGGGAAAAGATGCAAACAGAAGTCAGATCAAAACTAACGCTAATTGACTTTTACATTATTTTGAGTGTTCATTAATTTTGTCTTTTAAAATGGGAACAGTCACACAGACAATAACTGCAAGACACCCATCGTCCTCTGAAAGCATCACTTACCAGTCAAATCATCGGCTATTTGTACTCTGCACGCATTTAGAAAATGACCTAACGTGCCAATTAGAAAAACAAATAATGTAGCAGAGAAATAAAGTATGTGCACACATGAAAACAGGTTACATGCAGTCAAATATAAGCTGCAAAAATAAGGAAAAAGTTGCAGTATGAGAATTTGGATAAACATTAAAAAAGAAACAAATTTTCAAAGGCTGTGACCCTAAAATTAAATATATAATGTAGAGAAATTTCTGACAGAAAAGATTAACTCAAAGTTAAGAGGTCTGTTTCTCATTACAGTTGATGAAGGGCTCAGAAAACGCTGCTGATTAGAGAAAATGGACGTCTTGTTTTGGAAGCATAATGACAAAGACTGGCGGAGGAGGAAAAATAGGGAAGGGGGAAGGGTTAGGTACAGTACTTACCCTGTAATCAGAGATTTAGGGATTTCCCTCTCTGTCCCCCCACCCATCACCAGTCATGGGAGGTCTGCAGGGGTAGGAGGAGAGCGCACCGGACAAATGCAGTCCCTTCTCCAACCTCGCCACTCCTCCACAACCCTCCCAAAGCTGGAAGCTGTCTGGGCCAGAGCTCCAGCTGGACTGTGCTGGGTTGCGGTCTTACCCTACTCCTAACTGTGCTTCTTCGTGTGTCCTAGCCGTGATCGGCCTGGAACCATTACTGCTGGGCTTATGTATGTTTCTAGAGGAAGAGGTCAGTGGAGAGGCCTTCTAGATTCTTTTATGTCAACTTCAAGGATCTCGTATCCTTGCCATTTTTTAGATTACAAAGAAGTGGTGATACTAACTTCTAATTAAGAGATTGGTTAATGAAAGAAGTAGATTTTTTCGAACGGGCTTTGACTAGTGCTGCTTGCTCCAAATGCCTCCTAGGTCACGTCAAAGGGCAGTGGTATTACCGAGCCCAGCTTTTCAATTTTCGTAACAAGAAACAGACACTAAAGGAGGGAGGACGTTCTCTTTAAGAGAGATTTGGGAGTGGGCTCTGCCAGGGAATGTGCTCTAGTTCTTATGATGGTATTTAGAAAGTCTGACCTGGTGATCTGGTGTGATGTATACAAAGACAACAGGCCAAGGAGTTCAAGACAAAGGGGAAAGTGAAAGCTGTGGGTTCAGGGATAGAGGTGAAAGGGACAAAAACGGACAAGTCAGAAATGTTTAAAGGCAAACAAATAGATAAATAAGAGACCAAAATGAGGGGGGGGGGTAGTGAAAAAAAGAAGAAGAGAAGGAGGGATGAGAGAGAAACAGGCAGACAAATTAAGAAAGACAGAATAAAAAGGAAGGAGAGTGAAAAGGAGGGAGACTGATCACAGTGAGGTGGCTCCTCCAGGACTCCTGCCAGCCAGGACCAGACATGACGTCCTCAGAGGGAGAGGTTGGCCTGGACAGCCAGTGGTGGGGGTGGTGTTGGGGGCTGGCATCAGGGGGCAGTTCAGAGGGAAAGTCTCCAGAATAGCCGCCCGTGCCCGGCTCGGCTGCTTTCCACCCTCATTTCCTGGCAGGTGTTTCTGTCTTTATCGTCTTGTGACACACCACTGCAGCACATCTTCACAAAACTGTTTTCTATTTAAGTGCATTAGCTGAAAGTTCAAATTTAGGCACAATTTTATGAGTTTGTTATTGAATGGACTTGAATCTCCTCGAGGACTTTACGGGAAAGTTTTCTTAATCCGTTACAGCCGTTAGATTGAATACCGGCTGTGAATATGAGTGAATGTTATCAGCAAGTGCTTTGGGTTCATCCCTCTGTTGATGGCATGCCAAATAAGAGTCCAGCCTCCTCCACGCCCCCTTCTTCGCCCTCGAGCATACGATCAAATTTTGGAAGCCCAGCGGCACCCTGCGCTTGCCACTCCCTCCCCGCCCGTCATCACCCAGGCTGCCAGTGTCCTGGAAGGCGGGGGGAGAGCTTCATTAGCGGGCTCTTTGTTAAGTTTTCAGCAGAGACGGCCGTGTCTGGGAATCAGATTAATCAGGCTGTCTTTCTCCCCAAGACAGCTTTCGATTTGTCATGCCTAGGTCCGGCTGCAGGCTCCCGAGAGCCTGTGTGCTTCTAGTTGCCAGAAGAGAGACTTGAAACAAAAACAACACAAATAAACAAAATGAAAAGAAAACAAATGAACACAGAATTAGGTTCAAAGTTGGACTGTTGTGCTGTAAGGGGCTGCTTGGCTAGCCTCTCCCCTTACATCGTCACACTTCATTCAACATCAATCCTTCGTTCGGCTTTCTTAGTGTTTCTTTAATAAAGCAAAGAGACTTCAGTGTCTGGAGGAAAGCCTGCTTCAATGACATACTTCTTAGATACACACTTTATCTGAGAAGCAGCGCATGTGTTTGTGGTTGGCCTTTGATAAATTTACTGTGAATAAAAATGCAGACAACAGCCAGATCAATATATACTGATCATTATCATTCTAAATACTGAAGAGGGAAATATATTGCATGTATGTGGGGCTATACTTAGGAAATTACTTGCTTTATACTTGAGCACACATGACATACCAAGCCCACGTGAGGCGACGTCAGTAGCAATGAGGATGGGTGCTTTGCCACTCCGAAACTCTGCAACATGAGATGAATAAGAGGTGATTAGGATCAGCTAATTAATTTAATTTAGTTCAGTTTGTATAATTATGCAAGGAGAGCCAACACATGGTTCAGGGCAGCACAACACAACAGTACAAAGAACTGTCGTACAATGAAATGTCAGTGAGTGTGTTTATTGTACCTGATAATACCCAGTCTCTCTCTGGCTGACTCTTGTCACCATGAATACACATCGCTGGCCACCTAGAAGACAAATCAGCAACTTTAACAGTGCGTCTGTGTGTCTCTGCTCTTTTGATTTTCTCTACAACCACTCATCTGATGTACTACAAACCAGTGATGGGCAATTCAAGCAAAAGTACAATTCAATATTTACAGTGGACCAATTTGACAAGTCTTCAATTATTGCTCCTAAATGACTGTGCTTAGCTAAGGCTGTGGAATAGCTTAAAAAGCTCCAATAGCTCTAGTCCATATACACACTCCAGTGTTAAACTGCCCAACTTCAGCATAGATCATACCACTGGGTGACATCATGGTGTCCATTCTTTATTACAGTCTGCAGTTAAAACGGATGCTGGGATGAGTTGGTATACTCACCCGTCACGTCTCATCCTACGTGTCAGGTCATCACACCGTTTCTTGGTCTCAACGAAGATGATGGTCTTGTTTTCCTTCTCAGCCATAATCTCTTCCATCAGCTGGATAAGCCTGAGAAAAGCAAAAGAAGCAAATGCATTATAATTAAAGGGATGTAAACGCACACACCAAACACAGCAGATGCTGTTATTATTAACGTGAGAAGTTAATTCCTATGTGACCAGATCACCAAACTCTTACTTTTGGTCCTTTTCGCTCTCCACGCAAACGTCAACAATTTGAAGGATGTTGTGGTTAGCGCTGAGCTCCAGAGCTCCAACATTGATCTGGACATAGTCCTTCAGGAAGTCCTCTGCCAGTTGGCGAACTTCTTTAGGCCAGGTAGCGCTCCACATCAGAGTCTGTCTGTCCGGCTGGGCAAGAGAACCCACCAAATAAAAAACTATACACTAAAACAGCTTTGACTTCAAACATAAGAGTAAGCAGCAGAAAACAGAAAAACAAAGAAAAAAAACCCAAAAAGACAGAGATACAGCCTTTGAGTATTAGCTTTTACCCTGATCTGATCCACAATTTTGCGTATCTGTGGTTCGAAACCCATGTCCAGCATGCGGTCAGCCTCATCCAGAACTAGGTATGTGCAGCGCCGCAGGTTGGTCTTTCCAGCTTCTAGGAAGTCAATGAGACGACCCGGAGTGGCGATGCAGATCTCAACGCCTGGACAAGACAATGTTAGCATGTTTCAGTATGTAATATAATCAGTTAAACTGAAAATAAATAAGTTACAGACTAATCGAAAGTGGTTCCCAAAAGGACACAACTGTATGGTTGCATGCTCTAGTAGTCTTAGTAGTCTTCACCTCTCTCCAAGTCTCGTATTTGAGGTCCCTTGGGAGCACCGCCGTACACACAAGTGCTTTTGATGCGTGATGACTTTCCATAGTCATATGCCACCTGCTGGACCTGCTGAGCTAGTTCTCTCGTGGGGGCCAACACCAAGCACTGCACAGCACATATATAAAGCCACATCAATCCTCTCTTTAGTGTTTTAGTTTTATGTTGTGCTTTGAGGTCTTTAATATAATTAGGTTATTCCAAGGCAGACTACTCAGTGATTAGTGCTCTCCTTTTCTCTTCACGTACAATGGGTCCATCTCCACGCTCCAAGTAGGGCTGATGATTGATGTGCACGATTGCAGGCAGGAGATACTGAAAGAAGAAAAATATGGAAGACTGGTTCAGTCTTCTTTCACATCTTTCACCTGTGAAATTCATCTGTGTGGTGCGTACAGGTGAAGAGGAAGACACATCTCACCGATAAAGTCTTCCCAGAACCCGTCTGAGCAATGCCCACCATGTCTCTCCCACTGAGTGCCAGAGGGAAACCTTGAGCCTGAATGGCTGTTGGTTCCTTGAAGTTTTGCTGCATCAGTACATCCATTACATATTCTAGTTGGAAGAAGCAAAAATAAGGGACGATAAAGTATCTGGTTATGTATGTCTGCAAACTGTCCACAGTGCTGCAAGTGTATCCATGAGTGCATGTGCTTACGAGGAAACTGTGCATGATGGAAGCTGGTGACAGGTTTTGGGCAGCCTGAGCCTCGGACTGTGATTTCTTTCTTTCTGCGATACTCCTCAACATCATACTGAGAGCAAAGAGAAGAAAAGCAACAAGTGAAGACAGACAAAACAACACAACAGGTGCAGCTGAAGGTCAGACTGTGACATGACGGACATAATACCTGGCTCATTCGCTGCACTTCGGAATTTTCATTATAGAAGTTTTTCTCAAATTTAGGAAGCTCATTCAGGTCCCATCTCTTCTTTCGTAAGCGTTCCCCAGGATTCCGAAACTTCTTACCCGGGGGTGGTCCTCCTCTGCTTGATCCGAATCGGGGATTGCTGGAATATGACAACGAACTGTAAGGTCAATGCAACCGCTGCTAGTCACAATAAAAACATATAATAGGGTTTTATGATAACTAACTAGCATTAGCTGACACGCTAACTTAGCAGTCCTCTTACCCTCTGTCACGACCACGGTCTCGGTCTCTGTCTCCGTAAGAACCTCTCATTTTGAGGGCTCTTATTAAGTTTTGCTAATGGACCTTTATCTTCTACAGGTTGTACGGCTTTTGCTTACAGATACTTTTTCTGGCCTTGCTTGAAAACTCCAGAAGCTTCACTCGGCGAGACCGTGAATTAGCTTGGAAAACTGACTAAATCAAAAATAAATTAAAATGTCGTCTTCGTAAATGCCTGCTGAAAAGTTAAGTAGCACAACCCGCCATATTTCCGTTGTGACAAGCGTCGTTAGGGTTGCAATAGTAATAAGACGCAGGAGATGGTTGTGTTGTTGTTAGCTTAACACAGAACCGGAAGCTGCTGTGACTGGCTGGCGGCTGGATAAGCCCCGCCCCCATACTGTGAGTGACATATTCATGGCACGCGTACGTCTGTTTACTTACTTGGCCATTTATTAAACAGCTTTGGAAACTTAATGCAATACACTCACTGGCCAGTTCACGTGGTCAGCTGCTCCTTAAAACAAACAGGCCATCAAGATGAGCCGCTGAACTACAAACCGAGCTTTAGAATTGAAGGCAATTTAAGTGACTTGGAAGATGACATGGTTGTTGCTTCCAGTCGGGCTAATCTGAGTATATCAGAAAATAGTGAAATATTAAGTTTTTCCCACATCACCGTCTCTAGGGTTTACAGAGAATGGTCTGAGAAAGAGAGGGAGGGGGGCATAACTACTAAATACCAAAAGTTGAGTAAAAAACAAAAACTGTCCAAAACATTACTTGAACAATCGTCTTTCTGTCAATGGTGTTTGCAGGGGTTCTAATATTCTGCTAATGACAATGATGGAGTCTACAAGCCTGCAAAAACTGCCAGAAATGTCTTTTTATTTTACTATTCATCTTTTATTTATTTTTGAAACATCAACACAAATCGATATAGCATCAAAACATGTCATATTACCAATATACAAACAAAAAAATATCATACAACACAAAATTAAAAATAAAACAGGAGTATATATGAAATGAAACCATTAAAACACAAATATATTCAAACAGAGCACTATACCAAGCAATGGCGTCCCAGTCGTCGTCATAAAGGATTTGCAGCACTAAGTTTGACTTTATTTACAGCGTTCCTTCCATTTGGATATAGTATTTTCTGGATTAAAATACAATAAGCTTTGCAAAACTATGATCTGACAGTGTTTTGAAGAAAATGCTCAAGTATGAAACGCTCAGAACAAACACACTCGACCTTGATTTTAACTGAAGCAATGCAGGTTTAGTAGAAAGATACACAAGTAATGCGGTCACTGGGGCAGGAGGCGGCTGGATGGGATGTGGGTCACAGATGGAATCCAAACACTTTCACCCACCTTCTATTGGCTGAATATGATTTTCTCATTAAGACAAACTGAAAACGCACACATCACTTTGGCTGGTTTGACTCCTTTTCTCACAAAAGGTTGGGCTGTGATGTACTATGTGTCGACCCGCAGTCACTAACTCCAGTCTGTTAAATCAATATACACTCAACGTAAACAGAATCCCAGCTTTTATACAGCTGTGCTCTGCCATTCAAACATTTAGAGCCACAAACCACATGCAAGTTTCATACCATACTAGCATATTAAACATAATTGGATAAAATATGAATGCATAACTTAAACAGTTCCAGCCATCTTTTGGAAAAAGAAAACATAATGCCAACCAGAGGATTTCTGGCCAGCCCGAAGGAGTTTAGTCACTTTTCGTGTCCCTGTAAATGTACTGACAACCAATTTTAAAATGCTCAATATATTCAAGTACAAATGTGATTTCAATCTGATTTAAAGCCTTGTTTTCACCAGCATATCTTCGCATTCTCTATCTGTAGCGGCTAACAACGTGACTTATTTGCCGCTGCTGTCGTAGTGATGCCATTACAAATGACACCAGCAGAGGCAGGGCCGATCTGTGCAGCACGCAATGCCATTAATTATGAGATCACAATCCAGGGCGCATCACAGCTGGGCCGACTATGCAGGAAAGTGCTGCTCCATCAGTAATCTGTAATCTGTGTGGGCGTTGTCCTTCCGTCAGTCCTCCTGCCTACGCTAAATATCTCTCCTACAGCTGTTACCGTGCTTCTCCGCAAACAATATAGAGTCTGGCCAACAGCTGGAATGCCATTACATTACATAATGATGACATCCACAGTAAACTCATAAAATTTCTAGGATAACAATAACATACACCTTCGAGCTCAAACAACATTTAGATAAAATATTTATTTGTCATTGAAGTCATATATTAAAAATAACCCCTGCAATTCAAAGGTCACTTGAAAAAAACAACAAACCTAAACTTTAAGACAGTGTCTTGTTATTTGGAGCAAAGGGTGCTATTTGGCAATATATAATTACAAAGAGCGAGAGCGCTAGCAGAGAGGTGAGGAGGAATATTGATATTGATTATGAATCAGTGTAAAGAGTAAAGAATAAAGAGGCCACGTGTCTCAGAAGAAAATGGCACTTATTTTCTCCAGCTCATATCTAACTTTTTTAATGCCATAGTGTCATTAGTGCAGGATTAAGATGGTATAATGCAGGCACGGTTATCTGTACGAATCCATTTTCCACGGGTGAATACAAAAAATGCATTTCTTTCAGCGATGGCCTAAAATCACAACTAAAACAACACAAATAATAGCTTGGACAGTTAAAGAATCAACCTCACTCCTCCCTCACTTTATTTGTAACATCTACATTCTTTTCACGCTCCTCATTTCCGTGCTGTAGCAAACATTTCCTTTTTCCTTAGAAAGAACTCTGCCCTGCCTCGGTTTCAGCAATCTGGCAACCATGTGACATAAATCTGATCTTTCACTGTTATCTAAATGTGAAATAACCAGAACCACAGCCTGAACTTCCATGTTGAGGTCGGGGAAAAAAGATCCGATTCTTCCGTGGCTGCTAAAAACTTGAGAAGGGCTACAGGAGTAAGGGTTAGCCTCTGAGTGTGTGTTTGAGTCTCAGAACTCATCATCAGAGCTGAGTAGAAGGGTCTTTTCATTGTCCCCGCGGGTGCTGATGTTACTGTGGCTGCGGGAGAGCGGTGGCCCTCCACTTCGCTCTAACGTAGACTGCTGGGTGTACTGCTGATAAGCTGGGGAGAAGTTGTGGATGGCGTCCTGGACCATGTCTCCTGGATTCATCGTCTCCTTCAGGCTGCTGGAAATGCTCTTCATTGGGGCACAGCGACCTGGAGGTGTGATGGGAAGGTGGTAAATATTAAAAAGAGACACTGAATGGAAGCAATACATGAGCGAAAAAGGAAAGAAACTAAGTTTCCATCCCAACTGCCAGCTGGATTGTCCAAATAAACCTAAGCATTGTTGCAAAGAATATAAAATATATTAAGATAAATATTATCCCTCCATCTAGCATATTTATTATCAAGGCAAGGGTTTACGACAAGGGTAGGACCACAGACTGAACAAAGTGGGAAGGTGGAATTAGCTGACTGCAAAATAAATGAGAGAACACAAAACAACACAGCGAAATATCCATCATTTCAAAATCTAATGGAAACATAAATATCTGTATTTTCTATACAATGCTGAAAATGAAACACTGAACTGAAACACATAACACAAGCGATGGAAATGCAATATTTTTTTAAACCACAATCAAGGAGAAAAAAAAAGACATCAAATTCCATTTTAACATAAACAACTGAGTCACATACAGACAAAACATAGCTAACATCAGACGTACCGTACTGTCCATAGATAGGAAATGAGCCTTGAGTGCCGCAGAGTGAAGGAGGAGGAAAAGGAGAGAAAGAGATAAGAAACACAAGAAGGTCAAGATGAAAATAAAAGAATAGAAAAGAGGGCAGATGAAAAGAGAACAACTCAAAAATAAACAGATTGTTGAAGATAGGAATCAAAGTAAAGAGGAAGGGACACAAAGAGTGAGGTCAGATTAGCTTTGAAAGACTTCATCAAGAACCCTCTGTTAATCACATAATAACAATACTATAATACTGTTATTTGCTCTTTGAACATTTCACTCTCTACCACAACCAGACATCAACGCACACACATAAACATGCCGCTTACCATATGAATCCAGCCTTTTGTCCATGTAGACCTTGTAAGTAAAAGCATGGCGCAAAGCAATAGCAGCAAAGAACATCTCAATGCAGATGATGAAGTTTTGGTAGCCAGCAGCAACTGTTCCTTCCCCCACAGAGAAATCAGCAGAGTTGATCTGGGGGATAGCGCCACACTTCTCCAGGATGGCCAGCAACATCCCTGAAATATACAAAGATAAGATATGAAAACATAAATCAAAACACTGATGTATTACTCCATGAGAGTTCAGCAACATTTGAATCTGTGCATGGAAATGCCCAAAACTGGCACTAAAATAAACATATTTGGACCTGGCACAAAAAACCTTTTTGGTCTGTAAAGCTAACAGACAGGTTGCTTTAAACAGTAAAAACTCTTTCAATGTTAGCGCCAGAGCCACACCGATTAGTGAATACTGAGAGACAAAATGAGCAGCTGTCTACTGGGGTTCTTTTCCATTAATTAAAGTCACTATGTTTGAGGTTGCAGTTCCTTATATGACATATATTGTAGTTTCCTCTGTGATTAATTCTTCAAACAACCCATCAAAGAATTCTGTGTTCCAGTTTTGGTGGGTTGTTTTTAGCACAAAATAGCAGGCATCTGTGTTGGTATGAACCCTTCATGGAGTCTAACCAAGCTTGGTAGGGTTAGATGAAAAATTTGCACTCCACCACATCATCCAAAATTGTCCATTCTGGCAAAAGCACAGCGGCAACAGCAATGATGCAAGAATCAAGGCTTCAAAATGTAAGAGAACCAGTGGCTATATCCATCTGTTATATACAGCCTAGGCTAGGGAGCCAGGGACTGAAGAGATCACCTCTCACCGGGACTGTTTCTACAGTATCTACAGTATAGTGACTAGAATGAGCAGTCTTCCTTGTTCCAACTCGCAACTCTTCAAGTCTGAGTTTACATTGGTCACCTTTGCTAGGTTTCCAGTTGTGTATAACAAGCTACTTCCAAGGTGAATTAAGAGAGGATGTATAAAGTTAATACACACACACTTACCCTGCCAGAAGGAGAGAAAGATGACTGACTTGACCATGAAGAACTTGAGCACTGGGTTATACGGGACGAGCAGCTCACGTGTGGCAAAGTAGAAGAGGAAGAGAGCGTAGAGGGACAGACTCACAGAGATGTTGTAGATAATTGTGATATACAAGTAGCCACTAGCCACACTGGAGGAGACAGAAAAAAAAAAGATTATATAAATGCAAAATCAAACAGTCATTTCAACTAAAGCTAAACACTAAGATGCTGATGCTCTGGTTGACAGTGCTGTGGAAACATACTTGAAGTCTCCATCTCTGTATTTCCCAAAGGCCTGAAGGATGACAGTGATCACTGCCATCAGTGGTTTTACCACGCAGAACTGGAGAGTTGCCTGCACAGAAGTGAAAGACATAACAGTTGATGATGTGTGATACCTACAGTCATTCAAGCTTAAAATATTTGCAAGTAGATATTTTGGGTATGCTTACGAACACGTTACACTTTTAGTAAATGGAGAAAACATGTATTAATACTTGTCTGTCACAGTGGACACCACAACACTCAAACAGAGTCAGTACAACCTAAACCTCCACCCAAACTAAAATACTCATACCTGTTTGCAAAACCTGAGGAAGCCAATGGAGTAGGTCCTGCCCCACAGACAGCATGTCCCATACATACAGCTTGACCTAAAGTGACATACAGGTTAAAATACACACACACACACACACACACACACACACACACACACACACACACACACACACACTTACTTACTTAACATGAAACAACTGAAGTAACCAATTATATGGGCAATTATACTATGAAAAGGAATCAGACTTACTCGATGGGTTTCCCTCTGATTTCAGCCATTATGGCGCTCTCTCCTCCCAGATACTCGTAACACAAACTCAGGAAGTTGTAGATGACAAAAGCTGGAGAGGATGACACAGAGAAAAGGTTACAGTTTTCCAAAGTGGCTCTCTGCATCTGGAAAACAATTGCCAGATTTAAATTTTTTTTATTTTTTTTTAACTGGAGTTAAGCTGCATCAGAAAGCACAAATGAGAAACTGCGTCATCAAACTAAGGAACTGCATATCAGTGATATGACAGGAAGAGAAACCGCAACCTTCATAATCTTGCAGGATTTAGAACTCCAAAAACTAAGCAAACAAGCTAAAAAAATACACTGAAATGACAGATATACAATGTGATCAACACACAGTGGTAGAGCTCAGGCAGTAGAGTAGCTCACCTACTAATCAGAAGGTTGGTGGTTGCTGCTCCAGTCTGCACGGGCAACATACTACTAACCCCAATTTGTTATCCAGCAGAGTATGATTGTGTGTGAATGTTAGGTAGAAAACACTTACACAGGAAAGACATAGAAAAAAGTACTTGTGTGAATGGGTGAACGAGGCAAGTTGTAAAGCACTCTGAGTGCTCATTTAGTGAGATATAAGAATCAGTCCATCTATCACACTAGTAAAGGAATTACTATGCTTTAATAACTCTGTGTAACTCTAATAGTAACAGTTAGATTTTGCTGACTCTATTTCAGAACTGCTGAGACTGCCATTTCTAGACAGGAAGTGAAACTTATCAGTAGTCTTATGAATGACTAGCAAACACAGAACGAGCCTTTGACTGTGCATCCAGGCACAGTAATTCTTCTATGCAGCAAAAAACACCCTGCAACAGTAAAAGCTTGTGACAGTAAACGCTTACTGAGAGCAGTGTTGGTCAAGTAATACCTAATTACTGATTACTTCCCCAAAAAAGTAATCCCGTTACTTTACTGATTACTTATTTCCAAAAGTAATTAATTACTTAGTTACTTTTTAAAAACACGATTTACAACCTGAATAGGTGATAAAGTGATAGATCTTTCAGCCCAATTCTACTTTTTCTACATAATCCATCATACAGAATGTAATCAAATGGAAAAGTCTCTTTTTAAAACTTGTTTTATTAGTTTTAATCTTTTAACTTTATGCATCAAGCAAAAATTTAATTATATGCAACATTCTCTGACTGGAAGAAATTTGTTTAATATTTAAACCTATTTTCTGCACATTCCAGCACATAAAAAAAAAAATATATATATATTATATATATATATATATATATATATATATATATATATATATATATTTTTTTTTTTTTTATTTTTTTATTTTTTTGTGTTTACATTCACTCTTTCAAATAGATGCAAGTAAAACACAACAGACAATAAATAGAGTCAAAGACTAGCGGTCCTGTTGCTCTATTTTCACCTGTAAAGCAGGAGTGGGGTAGGCGGAGGTTTACCCTGGTGCAGGTGAGCCGCGGTCAGTTGAAGAATCCGCGAGTTTCTCTGTGAGTTTCCCATTACGTCGTTGCGCACTCAATGCTTGCTCGGAAGTTTAAGGGTTTTTTTTGCTGTAAAAAGAAGTTTTCTTCCCACGCACAACGGACGCTAATGTTTTTGTCACTTTTTATGGAATCAAACTCAAAGGTCAGTACTTCCAAGCTTTAAACGCTGCACGCTCATACTCTCTCCTGCACTCGATATATGATCCATTGTTGATCTGCACACAACTGTTGTCACAAACGTCGCACTTGCTTACGTCACTGTCATGAGACATTCTCGCAAAAAAATAAATAAATAAATAAATCACGGTTTTAGTAACGCAGTGTTCCTACGTGAACGTAACGGTAATCTAATTACCGTTTTTGCAATAGTAATCCCTTACTTTATTCGTTACTTGAAAAAAGTAATTGGGTTACAGTAACGCGTTACTGCCCATCTGACTGAGAGAGAACATTTTTTTGCCAGAAATTAAAAAAAAACAAAAAAACAATTTACAGTTATATATGTAGACCATTGTGTAATTCATCATTATCTGATATCAAAAATGTAAAAACATTCTCCTGGATTTAATATCCATTATTCTTTAAAAATCTAAATATTTTTAGAAAAATCTCAACAAAGCATATAGGGCAGTTGCATCATACAGTGGGGCAAAAAAGTATTTAGTCAGCCACCGATTGTGCAAGTTCCCCCACCTAAAATGATGACAGAGGTCAGGAATTTGCACCAGAGGTACACTTCAACTGTGAGACACAGAATGTGAAAAAAAAAATCCATGAATCCACATGGTAGGATTTGTAAAGAATTTATTCGTAAATCAGGGTGGAAAATAAGTATTTGGTCAATAACAAAAATACAACTCAATACTTTGTAACACAACCTTTGTTGGCAATAACAGAGGTCAAACGTTTACTATAGGTCTTTACCAGGTTTGCACACACAGTAGCTGGTATTTTGGCCCATTCCTCCATGTAGATCTTCTCGAGAGCAATAATGTTTGGGGCTGTCGCCGAGCAACACGGACTTTCAACTCCCGCCACAGATTTCTATGGGGTTGAGGTCTGGAGACTGGCTAGGCCACTCCAGGACTTTCAAATGCTTCTTACGGAGCCACTCCTTTGTTGCCCGGGCGGTGTGTTTTGGATCATTGTCATGTTGGAAGACCCAGCCTCGTTTCATCTTCAAAGTTCTCACTGATGGAAGGAGGTTTTGGCTCAAAATCTCACGATACATGGCCCCATTCATTCTGTCCTTAACACGGATCAGTCGTCCTGTCCCCTTGGTAGAAAAACAGCCCCATAGCATGATGTTTCCACCCCCATGCTTCACAGTAGGTATGGTGTTCTTGGGATGCAACTCAGTATTTGTCTTCCTCCAAACACGACGAGTTGAGTTTATACCAAAAAGTTCTACTTTGGTTTCATCTGACCACATGACATTCTCCCAATCCTCTGCTGTATCATCCATGTGCTCTCTGGCAAACTTCAGACGGGCCTGGACATGCACTGGCTTCAGCAGCGGAACACGTCTGGCACTGCGGGATTTGATTCCCTGCCGTTGTAGTGTGTTACTGATGGTGACCTTTGTTACTTTGGTCCCAGCTCTCTGCAGGTCATTCACCAGGTCCCCCCGTGTGGTTCTGGGATCTTTGCTCACCGTTCTCATGATCATTTTGACCCCACGGGATGAGATCTTGCGTGGAGCCCCAGATCGAGGGAGATTATCAGTGGTCTTGTATGTCTTCCATTTTCTGATGATTGCTCCCACAGTTGATTTTTTCACACCAAGCTGCTTGCCTATTGTAGATTCACTCTTCCCAGTCTGGTGCAGGTCTACAATACTTTTCCTGGTGTCCTTCGAAAGCTCTTTGGTCTTGGCCATGGCGGAGTTTGGAGTCTGACTGTTTGAGGCTGTGGACAGGTGTCTTTTATACAGATGATGAGTTCAAACAGGTGCCATTCATACAGGTAACAAGTGGGGGACAGAAAAGCTTCTTACAGAGGACGTTACAGGTCTGTGAGAGCCAGAGATTCTCCTTGTTTGAGGTGACCAAATACTTATTTTCCACCCTAATTTACGAATAAATTCTTTACAAATCCTACCATGTGGATTCATGGATTTTTTTTTTCACATTCTGTCTCTCACAGTTGAAGTGTACCTCTGGTGCAAATTACTGACCTCTGTCATCATTTTAAGTGGGGGAACTTGCACAATCGGTGGCTGACTAAATACTTTTTTGCCCCACTGTATTCTGTGCGGTGGTCAGTGGTTTACTTTCTATTTTGCTGAGGAGTAACACGCAATTTAAAAAAAACTGACTGGGCTGCACAGTGATCGCAGTTTTCCTGCTGGCCCAGGTGTTTGTCGGCTAATCTAAGGGTAATCCACAGACTCAGGCTCCCTGCTGCCTCAGCTTTCTTTACAGTTGAAAGCTGCTGAGCTTAAAAGTAAGCCTGTGATTGCAGCACATGGACGACAATTGGGTCCTGGGTTTTTCAGTACTGCATAATTACAGATACAGTATGTTTTAACTCTGAAACAAGAACATACGAAGAAGCTAATATTCTTTTGAATGGCTTCTCCACGTAAACCTAAGGTTTGAACAGTGGGTGGGTTGGGCTTTTGTGCCTAGATCACAATGTCATCATCATAAAGGGTACAAAAAAACTGACATGGAGTCCTTAGAGCAGTTTGAAATCTGAGCTTCTGTCTCACTGGGGTTACGTGTACGTACACCGACATCCTAACCTAAAACTCTGTTTATGTTTATTATAAGCATCCACTACTAGTTACCAACAATATACTATAAATGACAGAAAATACCAAAAAGCACTTTGAATAATGGTGGGATACATCATGATTTATCTGCTTAGAAGTGAGATGCCTTCTCAAGCATTTGCTCTTTTTCCACTCAGTTGCTAGGATACCTGTCCCCCCTCCCTGCAATCCCAACAGGCCATGGAGACATGAGAACAAAAATGGCAACCTTTGTAAATGAACACACTGTAAAGGCCCTCTGTTAGTGGGCACAGCACATAAATTCTTACACCCTCACACTTACTCTCATTGTTGTGTTAAATGCTGACCATACTGTGATGGCACATGTGGCAGCGTATATTCCTGCGTGCAACATAATAGGCTAGTGTATTTAATTTGACTCTGTTACTTTGTCCACTCACCTTCATAGCAGTCTCGGACTGTGTCGAAGTACACGTAATACTCCTCGTTGGTGAAGAAAAGCAGGCTGAGCCAGGAGTCAAAGGCATAGATGGGAACTATGAAGAGGATCCTAACTATGTGCCGCTGCTCGTTTGGAGAGCTGTAGTAACGTAGGTGCATGTAGATCTGAAAAAGAAAAAGAGGTTAGAGAAACATAAGTTCATCTAAACATATAAAGTCATTTATTTAGAAATCTAAGATTAAACTGCTCCTATAAAAGACACCATCATCTAACAAGGAGCTCCATATGCTGGAAAAAGCCTCCATAACTTAAAGACAAAATTAAACGAGCAAGTAAATATTGTGCAGCACTGGCAAAGGTGTATCTACACTCACCACCCATTTGATTAGTTACTGAAGTTAGGTAGTTGCTGAAGTTCGAATTGAGCATGAGAACGAAGAAGAAATGTAAATTATGTGACTTTAAACTTAGCATGGTTGTTAAGGCCAGATGGGCTGAGTATTTCACAAAGTGCTGATCTATTGGGATTTTCCCACACAACCATCTGTAGGGTTTACAGAGAATGGTCTGAAAAAGAGAAAACATCCTGTGAAAATGCCCTGTTAATGTCAGAGAAGACCGAGAAGAATGATCAGGTTACTTTCAGCTGATTGGAACACAACAGTAACTCAAATAACTACTTGTTACAGCCAAGGCACAATACGGTCGACCTTGATGAGCTAGAGCAAATTGGAAAAACAATGCTTGATCTGATGCAACATTCAGATAGTAGGTCCACACAACATGGATGGACCTATCCTGCCTTGTATCAAAGTTTAAGGCTGGTGGTGGTGGTGTAAAGGTATTCAGGGTTATTTTCTTGACATACTTTGGACCACCAACTGCGCATCATTTAAAGGTGAAAGCCTACAGTATATCGATCTTTTAATGACTGCTTCCAGCAGGATAACGCACCACGTTGCAAAGCTCAAATCATCTCAAAATGGTTTCGTGAACATGATAAGATCACCGTACTGAAATGGTCTCCACAGTCACCAGATTTAAATCAAATAGAGCTCCTTTGGGATGTGGTGAAATGTAAAATTCACATCATGGATGTGGAGCTGACAAATCTGCACCAATTGTGTGATGTCATGTCAATGTTGACCAAAATCTCTGCTAAAAATCAATGCCATGAAGAATTCAGGCAATTCTGACGGCAAAAGCAGGTCCAACCAGGTATTAGCAACGTGTACCGAACAAAATGGTCAGTAAATTTAAACCTGCTCATGAGAGCATCTACACCTATAAAAACAGAGATAATGAAAAACCCTGTTGACATGCTATGTATGGGCTGCATAAACAAAGAAGGAAAATGGTATCAGGTTTCCACCAACAACCTAATGTACCACGTAATATTTCTAATTTTTAAAATGCAAACATACTGTATTTAAACTTGCCTATATAATGATTAAATTTCCTAAACTTTATTTAAAGTTTAGTTTAAAAAAAAAATAGGACCTAAACTAAAACATGGTAAAGTCTGGCAGGGAGCGTGTTTGGGGCCTGCACATAGAGTGAGACAAAAGCTATCAGTGTCATGGAAAAGGGCGTGCTGGTACTGACCAAATAAAAGCGTCAATGCAAAAATGAAATGTGACCCAATAATTGTTTTATCTTGATTTTCTTGTTTTTATAATAATTGAAGCCAAAAATTGTAACTGAAAAAAAAAAATGGGTTAGTAGTTGTCACATTAAAAAACAACAACAAAGAAACAAAAAACAACTAAAAGCACAACATGAGATCAACATGGATCAGTTTTCTCACTGCAAAACCACAGTTCAAAATGTGTTAGGTAATCAGGGTGGCCCAAAGTAATGGCTACCTCATGAAACCTGCATGTGTGCAGTCAGTATACACTTGCCAGAGTCTGATACTGGAATAGAGTGAGTTTGCAGGGTGTGTGTTGTGAGTGTGTGCTTGATGGGGGTAACTGATACTGAGCTTTTATCACTCCTTTTCAGAGAAGCAGATGGCAGGAAGGACAGGGTGGGCTGCTGTCACCAGCACCTCTGTCTGCGCCCTGTGGCTCTTTTCCACTTACACAATGTCCACACCTATCACCTTTCCTGGCCTGTAAACAGACACACCTCTGGTAAAATAACAAACATTGAAAGGGGAGGGGGGGACAACACACCAGGCCAGACAGTGCACTCACAGGCAATCGTTGCTAGGTGACCCTACTTTCAGCACACACATCTCCTGCTCCTGTACAGTGTTATACTCAAGCCAGGAGAACCTGTTGCCAGAGCGACACAAGGCTATTCTTTAACCGAGTGTGTGAAGAGCATCGGCAAACAATGGAAGAGAAATCATTCAACTATGCCTCGAGGTACAATAGATCCCCCTTACATAAAAGGGATGTTACCTGAATGCTTCAGTGTAACATGAGGGCTGACAAACAAAGAAACCTGACAAGGTAAACTGCTCTTATTCCATGAATTGCAGTTCTCTGCAGGGCTCGCACACAGCACTCCACAGGCTTTTAGTACTGCTGAGGTCTTGCCATACAGCCATCGTAAATTGTCCCAAGCTGGATAAATTTAAGAGGGCCGGATTAAATTCAGTCAATCAAACTTGGCACTCTCGTGTGTTCACGCTCAAGGTTGCCACAAACTAGAATATTCCAAGTTTTTACAGCCTGCAAGGAAAATTTATAGCATGTTGTTTTGCCCATCTCTTTTTCACTGCACTTATGTAATCGTACTACTGCCAGCCCCAAATAAAACACAAAGACATGTATTCGTTTTACTTGTTTCTAATGTTTAATGCTTGCAGCCATCTTAAACCTGGCTCCTAAAGGCTGCTTTAAAGATTTAAATGTGGCTCGGTGACTAAAGACACTAGACTAGGACAAAACTCAATGTCAGCAATTTAGGATGACTGTCTCCCTGCTCCCCGCAAGTCAGTGGAATTAAAGCCATAAAGAAGTAAATATTTCTGAGCTGTGGCAATGGGAGCTTTTTTCATATGATGTCTCCTGCAGCTAACACAACTGGGCATGGTAACAAACAGCAGAGTAGGTTTAGCTGTCTGTGTCAGTCCACATTTCAGCAGGAATTGTCAGTATACAGCCTAGATGCATCAAACTTGTTTTCCAAACAACAACAAATTAGATCGACGTGGCACAATTTGGCTTGCAATGAACCTGTAATGTTGCTGAAATCTCACCATGTGTAGGAGCCTTTAGAAAGCAGATTGTAGATGAGAATAAGTACTTATTTAACTTCTTCACGAACACAGTGTAGCCAATTCATGGGAATGGGATGTTATTTATCACCTTCACATCAAAAACAAAACAAATTTGCAGACAGAAAATCCCATAATATTTGGAAGAAGAATATTTCCTCATATGAAGCACATAACACTACATGTGCTTGGTGTGTGAACATCCACATAAAGAGTCAACCAACCTTTAATTAAGTCTAAATAAAATCAAACAATCATGATCATGATTCAAATTTGGGTTTTGAGTCACTTACCCAAAACACTGACATTGAGATCAATGTTTCGGGTAAGTGCTATGGGCAAAGACGGGAAAACAGATGTAACCACATTGAATGAAACCATTAACAACATGTTAGCAAAGAGTGCATTTGAGTTTTGCCTAGTGACATATTTTGACCAAATAAAAAGCATAACCTGGTTATTCCTTTAGTGAAACCACCACATAGTCAACAGGTTCCCAAATACCCTTGGACTGTAGAAAGAACTCTCAAAACCCTGTAATTATTATTATTTAACCTCTTAGATCACAGTTTACCCTCTCACAGGTAGCTGTTAGTGGAACATTTCATTTAAACCCGCTGACCATTTAACCACTCTGCTTACCTGGTGGCATGTGATCAGAAGAGCTGTCCAAACAAAAAACCCTGATATAGTTTGGGCAGTGGAGGTCATGAGGAAAATTGGCTCATCTGGTGTTACCACTGGGGTTTTAGGCACCCATGATGTGTTGGATCCTTGTGGGGCTGTAGTGGCTGGGGACCCCAGGGTGAGGCTGCTAGGAGAGTCATTCTCCAACCTCTCTGACAGCCGCTTGACTCGCCACCAAAGCTGACTCATCTGAATGAAGAAAGGACACTTCATCAACAAATATGCTTCTTGTATCACACTTAATTTACCCTCGACATTTTTAATAGCATGCATCGATCAACAGAACATGTTCCAGTTTGTAAAGCCTGAATAAAACACTCTTGATGTGTAAATGCATCTCAGTGGGCTCGTGCGGCCAACGACCTAAATCTCATGCCAATATCTGCCGAAGCTGGAACGAGAAAACAGCAAAAGATAAAGAGCAGAGCAAAGTAGGACAGTGCACAAAAAAGTGCAAATGACACTGCACGGCTGGCAGACGTATGAAGCCAGATCAAATGGAAGGAGTGAAAAGAGGAAGGACAAGGTAGGCGGGTGAGGAGGCACTGGTGAAAACGGGCAAAAAACACACACATCAAGACATGGAGCAGAGGGCTGAAAAATCCCTAAATCACACAGTGACAGATCCGTAAGATCTGGTGACCCAGTTTCTCCTCTTCTTGTTCCCAGTGCTCTGCTCTGGGCAGAATGAAGTGGAGTGCAGCTAGAAATAGCACTATGCACAAACATATCTCATGAGAGTAGTGAAACACCTTTGCACAAATTAGTCAAAAAACGCAGAACTAACACGATCATGCCTGTGGCTGCATGTGGTTGGTGAAAGCTGAAAGCAGTAGAAATTAAAGGAAACAACTGCACGCAAATGTACATTAGGAAAATGGATAAAGGTGTTCTGAAGTTTCTATTCCACAAAGCTAATGGAACAGCCTCAGAATCTTGGGGGCTGGAGGGTATCCAGGCTGTGCATCCTGAACAGGCCCATCACATGGCCAGACACATCCATGCTCTCATTCACACCTATAACCAATTTAGGCACAGGGGGAGCACACAAACTCCACACAGCTGCCTGAGTACACCACTTCTGCAGCTCATAATGACATAATTATGAGCTGCAGAAGTGGCATTCATCTCATAATTACACAGGACTGATGAGGACAAGTGAAAACTAGACAGGCGACCGGCCAAACCGGCACTCACAACATCACACACACATCGAGACAGATGCTCTGCTACCCGCCCCCAATCATCAATTACATTCCTGCACGTTCATCTACTACGTCAATGTCTTGGCACAGATTTTCAGGAAGGCAATAATCTAATAGTTTGCAGTGAAAACTAATTTCACAATGACTTTCAAAGCCTCCTGAAACACCAGCTAAATATAGGGTGATTGCACAGTGTTGTCATGGATGACTCATGCCACTTTGCCAAAGCCTAAATCAGCTTGTGGCAATGCAGCAACTGGGAATGAGCCAGTGTGTCGCTTTCTCTCTCTCTCTCACTCTTCACCACCACCACAACACACACACACTCCAGAATATGTTTTCGTTGAAAACAAAACAAAACAAACAAACAAAAAACAAACAAACCCAGAAATAAATTTAGAACCCTACAGACAATTCAGTCTAAATGCTTTGCTTGTTTTTAATACCACCACAAAGACACAAGTAGAATATTGTTATTAGCATTATTATTGATTTTAGTTGTACTAGTAAATATTATTATTTGAGTAATTAAAGAGGTTTCAGTGTGATCAGGATCACGTTGATTTAACAGCTGAATTTCTATGTCCAAAATGATAATGTTATGTTTGGTTTTGCCATGTTCTGGTAAGTAAACAGTTAGAAAATGACTTTATTTATAGTATGTAAATCAGTTAAAACATGCCATGTTAAAATAAACATACAAATGATCTGCATATTATCCGTATTAAAGTCTGTGCTCACTGCTGTGCATACGCAATGGAGATGATCAGCACCTTGCACTTACACCTCGCTGGTTCCCAGTGGGCCACAGACAAGACAGATCATCAGTCCTGCTGACTGCACCCGGGGAAAGATTTCAAAACATGCATTGTACTTCGACATCAATCGAATTGGCAGTCTTTGTGACAAGAATTAAGACTTCAGGCCAGGAAAGCTGTCTGAAACATACTGTAACACACCAGGGCACCGAGGCTGTGTTCAGCCAGATGAAGTGAACACAACAGGATTCAGCAGTGGTTACAAGTCATTTTTATAGTGTTAAGAGCAGATTAAAGAAAATACACAAAGGACGAGAAGTCAAGCTTCCCAGGTTTCAACCCTTCGTATTAGTGCACACAGCCGTGCTATACATGCAATATCAGACAGGTGAAAAATTCAGGCGGGATAACAGTTAGCACACAAATGCTGATTTATGACAAGGTGTTTGAGCCATTCCGTTATGAGTGTTAGGAAAGACACAATAAAAGCGGAAAATTACAGCCGCTGATCGGCGCTCATGACTCCGTGCTGCCGCTTTGCTTACCTCCTCTGCAGTTGTTTGATGTGCGCCGATTTGAATCCAGGCATCAACTTAGCTCATCGTCTCGAATCCAATCTCGAGCCTTTCGGGAGTATAAAAAGTTACCGAGCCAAGCTATTGCATTCAAACGAGGGAAAGCCACGTATGTAATCACTGCATCTTTCTTTCAATTCCGGAAACTGGCTTCTTCTGCGGGAAGAGTCGACAGCTGAGCTTTAATGACGCCGACCTCAGCTGCTAACCAGTGTTAGCGAGCCCTTTTCTAGCCTAACACAAACTTAGCAGTTACTTCTTCCAGTAGAGACAAACCAAAGACGTATAACACGGTTTTAGAAAGCTTTAAATAAAACACGACGCTGAGGTGTAAACTGAGAAAATAACTGGTATTAGCTTGCCATTTCCAATCCAATGCTAATGGACTACTAACGCCGTTATTTCACCCACATCAGCAGCAGCAGTTCTCTGTATCAACAGCAGCGACTCCGCTCAGCGCATGCGCAGTCACGCCTTTGTCGTTCTCCGTGCTTGGCCATTGAACATAACGCAACTTTCTATCCACACCCAGCACCCGATAACAAAATGATGAAAAGTCAGAAATTGTGAGCAACGTTATTAATTTTTATTACTTCATAAAATATACACAAATACTGTAAATAAAGAGTGTTTAAGAACTGTACATGATATCAGTACACAATACATAAAGTGAAATCCCCCCAAATAGGCTCATTCTCCATACCATCCCCAACCCAACAGTTACAATGCCACTGGGTCATGGTGGCCTGTACAAAGGTAATTACACACAGTACACTGCTATTTACAAATCCCTGCAAATTGCATCAGTTAAGCTTTCTTCTTAATGACATCGTCAAGGTTTCTGGAAGTTAAAATAAAAAATAAAAATCCAAAAGGTGACATCACACTATTGGCATTTTATTTTTGCAGGATACTGAAAGCCCTAAGTATTGAATAACGATGAAGGTGGACAGGCTTTGAACAACTGAGAAACAAAGGCATTCAAAAAACATAGAAGGTACGTCCAATAAATTACAGGATGATGAGTGACAGTTTAACATAAATACAGTTATTTAAAAAAAAACTGCATACAAACTAAGACAAAGGGAATTTATTATTCTTTGCAGGGATTCACTGTATCACGCTTCCTTTCACACATACACAAAATGTTGGATGACCCAGCTGGCACAGCAACAGTAATCCATCCCACAATTTAGCATTTTAAATACCCAAACTTCAAATGCCTATTTCTGTTGTTAGTTTCCATTTTTCTACTTTACACTTTAAAACAAAAATTACCACATTTGGCTTTACATTGAAATAAAAAAATATTTACAGTGGAGTAAACAAACTTGGGTGTGGGGAAAAAAAAAAAAAAAAAAAAAAAAGTATAGTTATAGTATATTACTGGATGCCCCCCCTCCCAGACCGCACCCTGAAATGTGATCCCAAATGTTGAAGGAGCCTGCCCAGTACCCCCTATTACCTTCAATAATAAAAGAATAAAAAAAGGTAATGTTAAGAACTATCATAAAAATTGCAGCCACTTTTTGTTAGCCAAAGTAGGCAGCTGTGGTCTCTGGTCGAATATAATCAGTTTGCTGAAAATTTCCTGAGGAGCTTCCCTCAAGACTTCAGAGTTCTGTCTTTATTTTTTTTTTATTTTTTTTGTCATCTACCGTCATTCTTTACCATTTCCACTAACATTTTTAAAAGAAAAAAAGATTCAAAACAGGCAAGTAAGGGGTGGCGAAGACTTCCATGGCTACGTTTTGAGGGGCAGCAAGTAATCACAAAAGGGATGAAGGACAAGCAATCACCAAATGCTACTTCACCAGAAACATTACAGCAGCTAAAAACATCACTTACTATTCCTTTTTCAAAGTTACTCTTCATTTTGCCTTCTATCACCTGACCTACATGTCTCCATTTATTTATATTTATTTAAGAGGTTATTAAAAACAAACAGTAAAGGGGACCTATTATGCTTCATTTTCTTCCATAGTCTGTATGTAGTTTCCCTGTATAAGTAATCCATGAGCTAAATGTTTTGGCTTCAGACTGCTCTGAATGCCCAATTTCAGACAGTTTCTCTCTAGTCTTGGCTCTTTGTGATGTCATAGAGAGGGCATATCCTAATAAAGTTGTTATGTTTGGCAGAAACAGAAAAGTTGACTTAGAGGGGGAAGCCGTTCAGGGAAGAGATGAACAAAGAGGCTGCAAGACCCAGTGTAAGACAAACATGGATTATTATAAACTGTGAATCATGCAAAGCTACTTCTATTAGTAGGCTCAAAGAATTCAAATATGGAGCAGGAAACGAGCATAAGAGGCCCCCTTTAAGAACAGGAAAGTACTCCAATGTCATTATGAAAATCAAAAGATGTTTTTGCTGTGTCTAAATTGAAAAATACATTTTTTGGGGGGGAAATAATGTCAGCTTATAATCAACCTTTGATTAAACACATGCATGTCCTGGATACCCTTCTGCTCCTTTGATGCCAACAGTTCTTCACATTTTTCAGAATGCTGAGGGAATGTTTTGAGGAAGAGGAGGGCAGGTATGAGCAACTGTCAAGGTGCAGCTTTGTCATTTGTATTGTGGTAGTGATAATCCAGGGTTCAGTAAAGAAAGTTCATGGAGAAGGAAGGAAGAAGCAGAAAAAAAAAAGTAAAAATAAAAAAAAAAAAAAAAAATTGCTGGATACCTTCGTGTATTTTCCTGGATCCTGAAAGAGTTACAGTCCTTTTCCAAAGACCCATGTGTCCATTTGCAATCATCTTTTCTTAGAACAAAGTAAGAATGAAGGAAAATAAACTGTAGCAACAACTATACCTTGAAGCCCTGAAACAAGAGATGTATTGTCATTAAAGAAGAAATTTACAGATAAATAGCAAATATTTAAAAAAACTAAACAAAACAAAAACCACGCTACACCTCACCTGTCAGTTTTACTTGCATGCAGAGCTGGAAAATTCTATTTTCCCATGTGCTCAAATGGCACGCTGACCTGCAGAGGACAGTACAGATTCAAGATAAAGAGTCAGCAATTACAGCTCTCTTTCTCTCTCACACACACACACACACACACACACACACACACCACACACACACACACACACACACACACACACACACACACACACACACACACACACACACACACACACACACGACAAAATTATCCCACACAGAATCATGTCCTAACCCCATTAGATACAGTTCAAACAACACTGATAACTTTGCAAGCTAATTACAATGTTAATGCTTTCGTATTTTTTTAAATCTCGTTCTGTCCTTGCCGTTCTTCTTCGTTAGTATTGAGTGCAGTCTTGGCAGACAGTATAGGCGATACTACACCATAGCGTCCTGTAGTGTATTGCAGTTACAAAAACATATATGGGCGAATCGTTGCAGCCCTACATACCATGTATTAATTTATCCTCTCCCAATTACATCAGTCATCTATCTGCCTGTCCTACCCCCAAAGTCTAACCTTCTGTCACCCTTGTATGCCGTTTTTTCTTCTGTTAAGTAGGAGGGGCTAAAATGTCTCTCTCAATGTCGAAGTTTGGCGACTCCAGTTTAGACGAATCAATGCTGTACAAAGTGGCATTATATATATTATTTAAATAATCAGGCCTGAGTCAAAAGCTCAAGCTTCAGACTACTTTAAACACTCTGCTATCTACTCTTAGAGGTTTATGATGCCAGAGCTAAGCCTAAAAGAAGAAATCTTTAACCGAACGGAACTAAAATGGCTAATTACAGACTGTGGATGAACACAGATGTTGCAAAAAGTCCCAGTATAAGAATCAAACAAAGCTACTTTAGTAGGGCTCAAGAATAAAAATGTAGAGGTAAAAAAACAAGCAAAACAAATTATTATCATCATCACCAGCCTTGTGGGTTACCTGATCAACCCCAGGGCCTTTTCTCACCTGTGACGTAGAAATTCTCGATTGGTCGTGGCGGGCTGTGAGGTCAGAGGATGATACGTTGGCAGGAGCACCACGGTGGAGCCGCATGCTCACCTTCCTCTCTCGCTCTGCACGAGAAATTGCACGTGGTGACGTGTTACCTAAAACACAATAAAAAAAAAACGCCTAGATTAGATAAAAATATTCAAGAAAAAAGAAAAATACTCTGGTGTCCGTCTTATTCTGTTTCCTCTTTTTTTCTTGTAATGCAGCAGTTGGCTGAAAACTCACCAGACTGCTGGACCCGAGAGGCAGGGTTAGAAATGGCTTGCTCAGGGCCGTTCCTGACTCTGTTGGGAGCTCCAGGATTTGGACCTGGAGGGAGGCCTCGTGATGCAGACCCCCTAGGGACTCCTCCGATCCGCTCATCTCTCTCATCCGCAGTCCTCCTCTCCCTATCCCCATCCTCAGCTGTCCGACTGGCACCCTTTTAGATGAGATAAGCCACATTCAAGCCTAACTACTGACAGGTAGCCGTATTATAATGTGGTGAAAATACAAATCAAAGTTCAAGTTAGAAACTGTAGATATAAACTTACAAATTTGAGCATGTTCCAGTCAAAGACATAATCGTAAGAGAAGCCCTGTCGGTGGAACAGATTCCTGAAGAGCTGTCGAAGGTAGGAGTAGTCTGGTTTGTCATCAAAACGGAGTGAGCGGCAAAAGTTCAGGTATGTGGAGAACTCAGCTGTAAGAGGGTAAATAAAAATAATGAGAGTAGAACAGAAAGTTCACTGTAGCGGTAAACTTTGTGTGATTAGATAATTGTTAGCATTCAATTTCATACTGAGAAAATACAATACAACATCTTAAAATAATTTCAGAGGTATGTGTAGTACGCAGAGGCGCCCTGTGAGCCTCACTTACATGGGTATCCTTTGCAAAGAACTTCAATGGGTGTGGACATTTTCTTCTCGCTGATCCGTTCATATTTCTGTCTCTTTGTGGCAGCCTTGAGGCCCTGCCACGGGAGTGACCCCAGGTTGAAGTACATGAGGACGTAGCCAAGAGACTCCAGGTCATCACGCCTGGACTGCTCTGTAGACAGAACGCATGAGAGAGAGGAAGAAAGATCATTAGTCATCATAACAATCATTACAAAAAGGCCTGTAAATTTGTTTAAAGAGCATCAGAATGAAATTACAAAGCAACGGGAACCCTTCCCCCCTATCCCCACAGTCCCAGATAACTCTTCCTTCTTTACAGCCTGTATATATATCAGATACAGTGATGATAAAATGATGCCGCAGCGAAGAGGCACATCCAAAATTAAATGGCTGAATAAGAGGGACTTTTCACTAAACAGAAAACAGAGCTAGAGTCAGTAAATTTCTACACAGAAGAAATATTAAGCACAAGGAAGAACTTCAAACAACATAAATTTTTTTGGGGTGCTTTAACTCAATCATGTTGCGATTTGGTGAAAGGGAAAAGATCATAGTAATTTGTAAGATTCCAAGTATTCCACAAATCCAGGTATGTGCTAGAGGGTTTAAAAAGAGATGAGTGCCATAGAGTGGCTCTAAAGAATCACATTTAAAGTAATGTTTAGATGAAATCTCTACATCTGCTGTGGAGCTGATGAGATTTCTTTGAGTCACAAGTCTAAGGCTACTGAGACCACATCTTCATTAACACAGTCACACCAGTTCAATGAAATGTAAACCTTATGACAGAGAGAGTGCACTTGCTGTCAGCTCCACTGTGGAGCCTGCCCACCTGCCTGCTGTGAGCTCTGTGGTCAGATGGAGGACACACACACACACACACACACACACACACACACACACACACACACACACACACTCTTGCTCATGTTGTTGTTGGTTCGTTAGCCGGCCACGGAGAAGAGCATTGAATGAGCTGAAGTGAAACAGATGAAGAAAAAGAAAAAAAATACTAAAGTGTGGACAGAGGACTCTTAAAGATTTTTTACTTTTTTTTTATTGCGCCATTTTCCCATTCCTGATCAACTCCACTGTCGCACCCCACTATACTCCTGCCCACTTGTCAACCAATCAACATTCGGTAGTCGCATACATCATCTGCTTTAAATGGCACGCAGTTAGGATCTTGGAGTGGTGCATGGCCGCACATCTCACATGGGTGAGAACCTCTCTCCCTTCTGTCTGACCAAAAAGTGTACGCAGATGAATATATTTACAAGGATAAACCCGTTTTAAGGTATATCGTCTCCATTGGTCATGATCACACAATTATTTCTATTTGCCCTCCATTAGGGTACAGGAAGCTGTTGAACAATAGGTATCGCCACTCAGACGATAGCACCAGATAGCTGGATAGCATAAAAATGGCCTGTATTTATAAAGCGCTTTACTAGTCCCCAAGGACCCAAAGCGCTTTGCACATCCAGTCATCCACCCATTCACACACACTGGTGATGGCAAGCTACATTGTAGCCACAGCCCCCTGGGGCGCACTGACAGAGGCGAGGCTGCCGGACACTGGCGCCACCGGGCCCTCTGACCACCACCAGTAGGCAACGGGTGAAGTGTCTTGCCCAAGGACACAACGACTGAGACTGTCCAAGCCGGGGCTCGAACCGGCAACCTTCCGATTACAAGGTGAACTCCCAACTCTTGAGCCACGATCGCCCCGTAGCATAAGGGAGAAGTTGTTAAACTGCAAACAAGGACTTTGTTGAAAACTTTTTACAATGAACACTGTCCAAAGTCTCAAGTTTTCAAACTATTGCACAGCTCCTGTGTATCTATGCATCTCTGAGCTTCTGTACTTGAGTATCATTAAAATAGTAGTGAAAATCAACATGATCATACTACAGCGGCTGCAGTGCAACATGCTAGGTTACAAAATCAGAATCAGAATACTTTATTGATCCCTGGGGGAAATTATTTTTTGTTACAGTGCTCCATTTTAAACCAACATTAAGACAAGACGGACAATACACTAACTAAGAATAGTACAATATATACATATACATACATACATACATACATAAGTCACTCATAAATAAATAGTTGGAAAAGAAACATGTGTAGTTGTAGCAGCAAACAGTGTGTTAAGTGGATGCGTTGTACAGGGAGATGGCCACAGGCAGGAATGATTTCCTGTGTCGTTCAGTGGTGCTTTTCGGTAATCTCAGTCTCTCACTGAACGTGCTCCTGTGACTGACCAGCATGTCATGGAGTGGGTGGGAGGTGTTATCCAACATTGTCTTTATCTTGGACAGCATCCGCCTCTCCGACACCACCTTGAGGGAGTCCAGCTCCATCCCCACAACATTGCTGGCCTTACGGATCAGTTTATTAAGTCTGTTGGCATCTGCGACCCTCAGCCTGCTCCCCCAGCATGCAACAGCATAGAGGATCGCACTGGCCACAACAGACTCATAGAAAATCCTCAGCATTTTCTGGCAGATGTTGAAGGACCTCAGTCGCCTCAAAAAATAGAGACGACTCTGGCCCTTCCTGTAAAGTGCTGTGGTGTTTTTAGCCCAGTCCAGTTTATTGTCAATGTGTACTCCAAGGTATTTATAGTCCTCCACAATGTCAACACTGACCCCCTGAATTGAAACAGGGGTCAAGTGTTTCCTGGTCTTCCTGAAGTCCACGATCAGTTCCTTGGTCTTTGCCACGTTGAGCTGCAGATGATTCTGCTCACACCACGTGACAGAGGAGTCGACCACAGCCCGGTACTCTGTCTCATCATCCCTGCTGATGCATCCAACCACCGCAGAGTCATCAGAAAACTTCTGAAGATGGCATGTCTCTGTGCAGTGGCTGAAGTCTGTGGTGTAGAGGGTGAAGAGGAAGGGGGAGAGGACAGTCCCCTGTGGTGCCCCTGTGTTGCTGATCACCTTGTCAGACACACACTGTGGGAGACGTACATATTGTGGTCTTCCTGTCAGATAATCAACAATCCAGGACACCAGAGAAGCATCCACCTGCATCGCTGCTAACTTATCACCCAGGAGGGTCGGCCTGATGGTGTTGAAAGCACTGGAAAAGTCAAAAAACATGACCCTCACAGTGCTCGCCGGCTGGTCCAGATGGGTGTAGACACGATTGAGCAGGTAGATGATGGCGTCCTCAGTTCCGAGACGAGGCTGATAAGTGAACTGAAGGGGATCCAGATGTGGTCTTACTATGGGTCGCAGCTGGTCCAGGATGAGCCTTTCCAGGGTCTTCATGATGTGGGAGGTCAATGCCACGGGCCTGTAATCCTGGGGGCCACTGGGACGTGGCGTCTTTGGTACAGGGACGAGGCATGATGTCTTCCACATCACCGGGACCCTCTGCAGACTCAGACTCAGCATAAACAGTTTATGAAAGACTCCACACAGCTGGGGGGCACAGGTCTTGAGGACAAGGGGACTCACTCCGTCTGGTCCAGCAGACTTGCCTGAGTGAAGTCTCCTCATTTGCATCTCAACCTGGTATTGAGTGAAGGTGATGGGTGGGGGAGGGGTGTCAGGAATCTCACAGGAGGCAACATGTGAAGAGAGAGGCTGGCACAGTGGTGTGGCTCTGGATTCCAGGCTGACTGCAGGTGAGGTTGTGGGGGTGGGAGCAGACACTGTGGTGTCGAATCTATTGAAAAACAGATTCAACTCATTGGCTCTATTCTCACCTCCCTCAGTTCCCCTGCTGTTGGTTGGCCTGAATCCAGTGATGGTCTTCATGCCCCTCCACACCTCTCTCATGCTGTTCTGCTGGAGTTTCCACTCCAGCTTCCTCCTGTAATTGTCCTTAGCCTCTCTGATCTTGTCCTTTAGTAACACCTAACACCTTCCTCACCTCCTCTTTGTTGCCCCCTCTGAAAGCCCTCTTCTTGTTGTTGAGGAGGGCTTTGATGTCCTTAGTCACCCACGGCTTGTTATTTGGGTAACAATGAACAGTCTGAGCTGGAACAATGGAGTCGGTGCAGAAAGTTATGTAGTTTGTGATACACTCAGTAAGCCCATTGATGTCCTCGGCGTGAGGCTCACAGAGTGTTTCCCAGTCGGTCACCTCGAAACAGCCCTGTAGTTCCGCTATTGCCTCCTCTGACCACCTCCTAACAGTCCTGGTGGTCACAGGTTCCCTCCTCACAATTGGCACATAGCGGGGGGTGAGGTGAATCAGGTTATGATCTGACCTACCAAGTGGGGGGAGGGAGGAGGAGCTGTATGCATCCTTGACGTTAGCATACAGTAAGTCTAAAGTTTTCTCTCCCCTGGTGGGACAGTCCACATATTGTTTGAATGTTGGTAGTGTATTGTCCAGTGATACATGGTTGAAGTCACCTGAGATCACAATAAAGGCACTCGGGTGCTGAGTCTGTAGCCAAGCTATGGCAGAGTGGATAGTGTCACATGCAGCTGTGGGGTTAGAAGAGGGGGGTACATAAACAGCCACCAAGATGACGTGAGAGAATTCCCTGGGTAAATAATACGGCCTGAGTCCAACAGCACACAGTTCAGTGTCCGGGCAACAAATCCTTTCTTTGATTGTTATGTTGGCAGGGTTACACCACCGGTTGTTAACTAAAACAGCAAGCCCACCTCCTTTCCGCTTACCGCTAGCGATGCTGTTCCTGTCCGCCCGAACAGTGTGGAAGCCTTCCACGGAAGCATTCTCATCGGGAATGTCCTGGTGCATCCATGATTCGGTGAAACACATCAGGCTACACTCTCGGTATTCCCTCTGACTCCGTACCAGTGCTGAGAGCTCGTCGATTTTAATTGCCAACGATCGCACATTACCCATCACGATAGACGGCAGACACGGTTTAAACCTCCTCCTCGCTTCGAGCCTCCGCTGTCTCACCGTCACCTTTTTTCTTCTCTTCTGTCCTTGACCTCTGCATCCCCGATGTGTTTTCCTCCAAATTTCAGCTGGTACTTCTGCGGGCCTGGCCAGCGAACCGGCCGGCATCAGGGCGATCAGCTGATCTCTGGAGTAAACAGTCCGTGCGTGTAGGAGATGTGCCGCGGTCCCGTTCCTTGATAAAAGTAACAGTTCCACGGCCACCAGAAGAACAAAAACTCTCTCAATCCACATGATTGAGTAAGAGATAGAAAATGGAGGAAAATACAAGTCAGGAAAAAAAAGAATACGTAGAAAAAAAAAGCTAAACTAAGAGAAAAGCAGGAGCGACTGTAACAGGCTGCACGCTGGTTGGCGCATGCGCACTAAGTACTCGAGAGGTGCACGACCACAAACACTGTGGGGCCACAGCGAGCATAAGAACAACATTACAGAGAGACTGTATCAGTTTAAATCATATAACTGATTATTTTAAAAGGAAAGATCTGGTGCATCAGAAAATCTCTGAACTTGAACTAACATGGCACCTTAATACAGTTCTTTCTGCTTAAGGGAAGCTCTCTCTACTATATCAGTAAGAAACATTAATCACAATACAGAGCTGTAAGATAAATGCTTCAGATTATGTCTAAATAACTCAATAACAGCAGTACTCTGCAAAATTTAACACCATGGTTTCATATCCAACACACCAAAGCCTTCATTAAAATGCAGGCAAATTAGGCTCACGTGTCTCCTCCAAGTCTTACCGATCCCAAGATGTGTGTTGATGGAGGCATAGCGCGCTGTGCCCGTCAGGTTCTTGTTCTCCCGGTAAGGAATGTGCTGGTGTGTGCGGGCATCACGGTACTTCTTGGCCAGCCCAAAGTCAATGATGTACACCAAGTTGCCTTTCTTGCCGAGTCCCATCAGGAAGTTGTCAGGCTTTACATCTCGATGGATGAAGTTCTTGGAATGGATGTACTCAATGCGACTTATCTGGAGAGGAAAGGTGGGAGAGTGGTGAAACAATGTTAGCAGCACAAAAAGCCTCTAGGTAAAAACAAAGGTTACAATGGGACATGACAAGTCATCTTATATTTTACATCCCATGAGTTCAGCACTGCCCCTGTGGAGTTTCCCCGACTCAGAAAAACAGTTATTGTCACATGACCATTTCTTTTCTGAGTATATACTATCAAAACACTATATAAATATGCAAAAACAAAAAGTTCTGGAATCCAAAAATTTCACAATTTGTGGTTGTTATGAATGTGTCATAACAACCAGCGTGAGACTGCATGTCACCTTCCAGCTGTCCTTTACACTTTATGACTTCCTGCCCAGCATATGCAATTAATATCTATTAACTGAAGCTACTGGTGTAAATGATCTCCACAACAGACTGAGCGTCACCACTTCCTGTGGAGTTTGTTTTTTGTTTTTTTTAAATCCCTGCAACCAGCAATGAAAGCTATGTAGACAAAATGTGTTCTCATCCCATCTAAAAAGCCAGCCATACCCTTAGTGCCCTCAATACATCTTGGCTTTCTCATTCCATTGATATGAAAACAAGGCAAAATGTGCCAGAGGATGTATAAAGAGAAGCTTCAGCTGGAACAAAAGGTGAGATCAGTTGTGCTTGAGAGAGAGCCACCAATAAAATCTAACATCTAGGCCAGCACAGTCTACAAAAAGGCCAATATTACAAAACACACATATCACAAAATTATCCCTGACTTTAACTGAAAGGTTCGTAGCATACCATCTGGTCAGCCAAAAGCAGGACAGTCTTTAGGCTGAATTTGCGGGAGCAAAAATTGAAGAGGTCCTCCAGACTAGGGCCGAGCAGCTCCATCACCATCACATTGTAGTCTCCCTCTGCGCCACACCACTTTATAGATGGAATGCCCACTAGTGAAGACACATCAAATCAGAACAAAGCCCCCGAATCGTGGCGCACACACTGCTGGTTGGACATTTATCGTCATCTTCACTTTACACATTTAGCAGATTTCATAGGATTTGCATCTCCTATGCCGTCTTGGCCAATAAATTCAAGAAGGAATGTGTTGAAAAATCTTGACAAGCATGTCCAAGCTCTAATTTCTTACCTCCTCCTTGCATCATCTTGTAGAACTTGCTTTCAATGTGCAGCTGTGGGTGTTTGGTCTTCACACATTCCAGCTTGATGGCTACCTCCTCACCAGTGGCGATGTTGGCACCTGAAGAGACACGTGCAGAAATACCCACAGCAGTCAAGACAATTGCACCTTTGCATGTACGAGGACCAAAGACGAATGAGCATAAAGGAAAATCTGAGTTCAGTCCCCGGATAAAGGAGGAAAAAAAAAGAAAAAAAAGGAATGGCACAGTTTGAAAAGAGAGGCTCTCCACACACTAATGTGGAAAGAACCTCACCGGGCAGAAAGCTGGGTAAAGCGTTTAAGAACTGAAGAAAAAAAAAGAAAAAAGAAAGTGGATGCTTCAACTTACCGAGGTAAATGTCTCCAAAAGAACCACTCCCTATCTTTCGCCCGAGCCGGTACTTGTTCCCAACTCTCAGCTCCATGCTTCCAACTTGTCACTGTCACAGTGGGAAAACACAGATATTAAAATAAAGCAACAAACATACAAACTGAGCATCATCGCTCCTCTTTCACCACTTCAGCTATAACCATGACCATTTCCTGAACTTTCCCCTAAAGGCAGAAAGAGGGAATTTATCCTCAAGGGTCAGTCAACTGCTCACATGATGTGTACCGATCCCTCAGCACTCAAGTGTTCACATGTTTTTGAGACAGAATGTGGCCCAAACAGGGCCACTTGATCAGCAAACAGCTGTCTGGTGCCCAGAAATACAAGATCAGATTTGTAGGGCAGCTAGGGGTGAGAGAGAGGCGGCTGCAGTGAGATCAGCAAAAACATGGAAGGGAGGAGAAAGAAAAACAGGAAAAAAAAAAAAAAAAAAAAAAAAAAAAAGAGAGAGAGAGAGGCCATGCACAAATGCCAGTTTCCACTTGGAAGTGGAGTGAACCAGAATCAACGGACTTGGCACACACGAGGAAATGAAACAGCTTTTTTGGGGGGGGGTTTGTGTGCGTGTGTGTCGAGCTGATTTGCACGTGATGCCGGAGCAGGATCATCACTTATTTAGTGCTCGCTCCACCACGCCACATTGTGCAGCCATTGCAAAAGCAAGACTAAGCTCTCTGCCGTTCTGCGCTGGCACTGCCAAGCGAGTGAAGGCATGAGCAGCCAGCCACTGACTGGCTTTATCTATGTCAAGGCCCTCACACAATTCTGTGTGATGAACTCCACAAAGCGCTGCACAGACTTTATCAGCATGGACATTTCTACTGTCGCCACCCTTTAACACTACTGCAACAAAACATCATATTACACTGACACTCGTTTATAAAATGCTGTCGCTTTCGAGTTTCAACCCTCAACTTTCCAACCGAACGTTTGCAAAGCACAGAACGCCCTGCATCTTCTTCACCAATCCCTGTGTTGCATCTGCCAACTCAAGAACCTTTATAAAATCCCAACTTTAAATGACTCCACATATTAGTTTTGCTGGAACGCAGACACAAGCTCTAAAAAACACCCAGGAATCACCATCATGGATCAACTGAACCTTGCTTTTCATCAGCAGCAACTGCATCACAAAGGCCGTACATATCCTGATGAACTCTACCTGATGAGGACAGCCTGCTAGGAGATGTGATAGAGGCAGATGGATCTGGGTCATTAAAGAGTGAGAGTTCATGTCTCATGTGCTGCAGCCAGGTCTCCCGATTTAGGGAGGAACACTAACACAAGGTTACATCTAAAGGGTACAACGAAAGTGCCAATGGTTAATTACTTCATATAGGAACAGTGGCACAAGACGCTAAATATAAGACTCTACCCATATTATTTGAGATATTTTCTCATGAGCTACTAAAAGACTAAGACAGACTTTAGTACAGCAAATGCAGTTATTGCAGTAACGTGAAGAGTCTGTGATTTAAGGTTTCAAAGGTGCCTTGTGTGAAGTGAAGCAAGTGGAATTAGCCTGTCACACTGCACTGGAAAAAACACCATGTGCTATTACGGTAGTAATCGTCTACACGAGAGTGGATTGGTTAAGATGGTACAGTACACATCTGCTGGTTGGGGGGAGTCTTAGTGGTGACTGCTGAGACAGGATGTCCTGAGGATGTTGTACACTGTGGTTGAAAAATCACACACACAGACAATATATCACTAAAATGACCTCAATCTGAAGTTAAATTATCGTGCGTTTTCCGTACATGTAATCGTTTAGATGGATGTTTAAAAAAGTGCTATACTTGGAAATGATTATCGCTCTTTTAAAACAAACAAAACAAGTACTGTAACAGAGCCAAAAGATTTCACAATCACACGAAGAACAGAGCTAACGTTATGCCTCTCGCACACGGACAGCTGTCACTACTACACAAACAACTCGCGTGTTACAGACTCCACGCTGAATGCGTGTGTTAATATCGCCTAAAGTTGCAACAAAAATGTATGTTGTTGTTGTTGTTTTTTTATAACGGCAACGCTACATTTCTCTTTCCTGTTTGCAATTTGACAAGTAGCAAGCCAGTGGCGAATAGGCAAGAGCAACAAATCTGCCGTAGTTTCAGTTACGTTTTTTTTAAATTGCTAAGATTTACTGAGTATTTACTGAGTGTTTATTGAGTGTTTCTGTATAATTTGAGAACGTTTCGAGTAACGTTAGTGAAAAACATCAGCGCTAGGCTGCTACGTTAGTTAAGAGTTAGCTGCTAAGAGTAAGCTAGGATAAATACGTAAACGGAACCGTGATACGCGTAGCCCCGTTAATACTGTAAAAAATAAAATAAAGAAAGCTAATAATATTTAATATTATACTTCGTCACATTTTATATTATAACCGCACCCATGTATGTCACTGGACAAGCCTGTGCAGATCCCTACTACGCGCCCCCTCCCCCTCTCTTGGAAGCCGTGAATAGGAGCGTCTGATTCGGCCGAATCTGGCCCCTTTTCCCCCTTGGTTTCTCCGGTTCCCTGACCCAGCACTCACCCGATATTAGGTTCGTCCGAGAGCTGGGTTGGTGAAGGTTCTGATCCGATGGTTGTCAGTCGGACAAGAGCCCGGGTAGTGGAGGATGGAAGCGGATTCTGGTGGCTCTCATACCCCCAGCTCTTAGCTCAGTCGTCGACTGCACTCCCTGTTAATAGTCCCTGAGATGCTCCGGCAGTACGACGGCCGTTCTCCGCTCGAGTCTGTCTCCCCCTCTCGTTACTTAACGACGTGCGTGTTCACAGCGCAATGATGTCATTCCCTGAATGTCAGTGCACTGCCATTAAAGGAAAACGCCACATATAACGACTCCTATATCTGCAAATTTACCATTCACGAATAACTATCCAATACCATTATTACTGTCATTCGTTTTTAGTGTAAATAGTCAAGTGTGTGCATACTCCTGCATTATATGAATAATATGATACTACTAATTATGCAAGAGTTTTTTTGTTTTTTTTTAAAATCCCTGGTTATGTCCCTGCACAGTTTTTTCCACTTTGCCATTATTCTTGTTCCTCCTACCTTCCATGTGTTAAAATCTGATGCCAAAGGGCGTTTCTTGAATCCAATCATTTTCAATTCAGTTTTATTTATATAGCACCAAAACACCAGTTGCCTCAAGGAACCTTGTATTGTAAGGTAAAGAACCTAAAATAATACAGAGAAAACTCAACAGTCAGACTTTAGCGCAAGCGCTTGGTGACAATTTTAACAGGAAGAAACCTCCAGGCTCCAGCAGAACCAGGCTCAGGGAGGGGTCAGCTAGGACCAGTTGGGAAAGAGAGAGAGAGTGAGCTCATCCTACATACAGTCCTAATCAAAAGTTTAAGACCACTTGAAAAATGGCAAAAAAAAAAATCCTATTTTGCATGGTGGGATCTTAACAAGGTTCCAAGTAGAGCTTCAACATGCAACAAGAAGAATTGGAGATGAGACAAAAAAAAAATTTGAGCATGCAATTTATTGAAAACAACCCTTAAATGGAAACAGGCTGCTTTACAGCTGATCTTTAGGACCACACCACCAAAAAAACCTGTAAACCCTCCCAAAACAGAAATCAAGTTCCCTACATGAACTCAGTAATGAGTAGCTCCACTGTTATTGTTGATCACTTCAAAAATTTGTTGCAGCATGCTTGATGCAAGCATTTCCATGAAGTGAGTGGGAACATTTCTGCAAGTGGTGAAGATGGTCACAGGAAGATGGTCTGGAACTGTTGTACACTTTTGTAAACTTCCCTTGCCATTGATCTGAAAAGGTTCTCAATTGGATTTAGATCAGGCGATCACGCAGGATGGTCCAAAAGAGTGATGTTATTCTCCTGGAAGAAGTCCCTCGTCCTGCAGGCATTGTCTACTGTAGCATTGTCCTGTTGAAAAACCCAGTCATTACCACACAGACGAGGGCCCTTAGTCATGAGGGATGCTCTCTGCAACATCTGGACATAGCCAGTGGCTGTTTGACGTAGTAGGCCGTTTTGAGTAGTGGGATCTACTTGTCATGCCAGTAACGTTGGAAACAATCAGGGCCATCAAGGTTACATTTTTTCTCATCAGAGAATAAAGCTTTCTTCCACCTTTCAATGTCCCATGTTTGGTGCTCTCTTGGAAAGTCCAAACAGTAAGTTCTGTGGCGTTCAAGGAGACAAGGCCATTGAAGACGTTTTTTGTTTTTAAAGCCCTTCAGTGTCAAATGCCATCCGATGGTTAAGGTGCTGCAGTCGGCACCAGCAACGGCCTTAATTTGGGTAGAAGATCGGCCTATGTCTTCACGGACAGCCAATTGGATTCTCCAGCTCAGTGCTGGTGAAATTTTTTGGGGTCTTCCACTTGAGTTTTTTGTTCCATAACCCTCAAGATCATTTAAGAAATTCCAATGACTGTCTTACTGCGTCCCACCTCACCAGCGATGGTGTGCTGCGAGAGACCCCGTTTATGAGGTTCAACAACCCAACCATGTTTAAAAAGGGAAATATTTTGCCTTTTCTGTCAGATTGTCATGACAGTGTGCCTACCTGACAGAAAATTACAATGAAGCCACATGTTTGCACAGATTTGTCTCTTTAAAGGCATGTGGTCTTAAACTTTTGATCAGCTGTAATCAGCCTGTTTGTTTCCGTGTTGTTTTCAATAAATTGCATGCTCAAAACAATGTTTTGTCTCACTCCCAATTCTTCTTGTTGCATGTTGAAGCTCTACTTGGAACCTTGTTAAGATCCAACCATGCAAAACATGATTTTTTTTTGGCCATTTTTCCAAGTGGTCTTAAATTTTGATCGGGACTATATGCAAGGGCACTTGAAAATTATATCAAGCCATAAAATTTAAGGTGTATAATAAAGGTTACATGGACAACCTCATACAGGTTTAACACAGGATGAACCCATAAAGGTTATCAGTGTGGGTAAATAATTTCATTCAGTAAGCACTGGCTTACCAGAGACTGACGCAAGTGTTAAATAGGATTGGTTTGTCAATAGTGATGAGAGGGTGACTGACATGTGGTCCAGTCCATACACCTTTTTTCTTTAGTCATGATCACCTGCTGAGCCAAGTGTGGATTACAGCAGACAGACACCTGAATTCACACACACAAATGACATAACAAAGAAGAAGAACAAGTTTAGAAGCCAATACTTTCATCTTTATTAATCTTGTTCTCATTTTGTTTAAATAAATTTTTTTTATTTTTTATTTGTAAAATCTCAAAACGAAAACACTGAACAGGAGTGTTAAAGCCTGTCTTAATTTAAAACGAATACACAACAACAGAACATTAAAAACGTACGGTAACGCTTACTCTGCATCTGTAAACAACCCATCCCACCCCTCCCTCCCGCTCTACACAGTTTGATAAGATTTTGGCATGTCCATCTTTTTTTCTCGACGCGTATGCCTTCAGCTCTTTGTGTCATCAAAATGTTCTTTTTTTATTATTGCAGGTCGGACAATAAAAAAAGACAAGTCTGCTTTTAAAAAAAAGAAAAAACAACTTCAAATGAGAGAGAAAAGCATTAGTGCGAATATTTCTTAACACACAGTCAGCAGTATACTGAATGCACTCAAAAACATTTTTGTATAGACCTTCTGTATAAGTAAGCAGCCTTGCCCACATTATGACAGGCATTAACATGCACACACATCATCCTCACATTCACGCACACGCGCACTCACGCATGACAACTGCGGTGGTTTAATCCACTTACTTGGTCTCAGTCTCACTCACGCTCAGTGTGTACGACACTACGCGTGCACACAGTATCAACACATGGAGAAATGCATCATAGCCTCAAACTGCCTGCAATTTAACATTTATCACTGCAACAGTAACAACCATGTTCAAGAGAGAATAACAGAGAAAAAGAGTGCGTGAGATACAACAGTAGGAGGTCAGCATTTTGAAAACAGAACAATGACATTTCAGTATTTTCACTGTTTAAAAATTAAAACCATACAAACAAAAACAAAACAGAAAACAAACTTAACATACACAGTAAGATACAGTTCTGCTGTCAATCAGAGCTGTTTGCATGGGTTTGAATTCGATCTCCATCTTTAAGGGGATGTGAATACAAACTGCACTTTAAACCTCACATCATGTAGTAGTTTTAAGTTCTCTTTTACGATGAAAGTAATGCTGTTTACAGTGCCTATCTGTCTGAAGGCTTCTCTGTATTTGGTGTGTGCATGTGTATGTAAATCTGCTGAAAAGTCACCTATTTACTAAGCACATTGCAATCCAGTCAAGTCTTTCAGACCAACTGACTTTTCATTCTTTTTTTTTTTTTTTTTCAGGATTCAAGTCTAAGCAGTTGAAATCTTCATCTGTGGAAAAAAGGCTGTATACACATCTAACAGTCCCTGCATTTGTTTTATATAATAGCTTAAGTCTGGCCACGAGAATGTGTGTAAGCATGTCTCACATTTCTGCTTTGTGTGTGCACATAAATTTGCATACTACGTATACGTATGCACACGTGTGTATATGTGTAGTACATTTATATGCATACCATGTAATGCGTGTGTGTGTATGTGTATATGTGTGTGTGCGCGTGTGCCATAGTAAGTACATATGAATCCCAGTGTATGCTGTATCAGTGTGTCCAAACCTACACGTACAAATGGAAGCGGGGGGGGGAATCCTCAGATGGAATCGGTTCCTCCCCCCAGTAGGTCGCCAGGCAACAATCCAGCAGGGCTGTCCATTTGGTGCCTTTCCTCCATCTGCGGTGCCCCCCACAGGCTGCTGCTGGGGTATCCTGCAGTCATGCCTCCCCAAAGCCCAGACCTCCCAGACTCTACTCCCCCGACGCCTCCTCCCTCCCCAGCCCCGTTGGTGCTCCACTGGGAAAATATCCCCAGCCCGGGTCCTTGGGCTGAGGAGCTCTCTGAAGAACTACCTGTACCATCAAGACTCTGCCAGCCAGAGCCAGAGGACCTAACTCCAGCTAGAACTGCTGCTCCACTCTCTCCTCCACTGCCATTTCCGTTTCCACCTGAAGTTGCCCCCACAGCTGCCCGCTCGCTCCCCGGAGAACTTCCTCCACTGCTGGCCACCACAGTTGTGCCTGTTCCGGATGAACCCTGTGCCCCACCGGTCGCTGCCCCTCCTGAGCTGGCTCCCTCTGCCCCTCCGGCCTGGGAATGTGCAACATAGCGAGCAACCTCTTCTTCGCTCACAAACTCCGCCAGGATCGTGGTGTTGCCCAGGACACACCTGTTTAAGAAAATTATAAGACAAGGTTCTTCAGGTCAGTATGTGCAGAATTACCGTTTGCTTCACGCGGAGCAGTGAGGGTATAGGTAAACTTACATGTGCAGTGCACCCTGGGCCTTGGCTGCTTCCTGCCGGGTGCTGTAACGAATCAGAGCACTGCCCTGGGTCAGGCCAAGGTGGAAGGTCAGCAGGGGGCCATGCTGCATACAGATAGTCCTCAGCGTGGAGCCATCAATCTACAGGGAAGAGGGAATAATTGTATAGATACCGTATAGGATTAGACTCTGGAGGGTGTTTGTCATATTTAGAAGGACCAATTTTGGTGAAAAATCTGTTACTGTGAAGAGACTCTTGATTTCTGAGGAACCCAAACATAACGCAAGACTTTTGATTAGAAAAGATTACTGATAGTCACTTTGTTGCAATGGTAGAGGTAAAAGTAAGGAGCGAGGAGTTATATTACATCGACCAATGTCCTCAGCAGAACGCGTGGATGT